GATGTTGAGTGATTTCTAGATGTTTCTGATTTCAAGTGTTATATTTGTGCATAGTCTTCATGATATTAACATATATCTCAATTCAATCAATGACTTTATATTGATGTCCCATTTTTGTCAGAATCCAGTCATCAGCATTCTTGGTGATCCAAGCAATTCTAACCAGCTCCAGCCACGCTCGCACAGCGGAGCCGCCTGAAAGGTGACTTGGATATCCCCTCCTGCCATTTGCTTCAACTGGTGTAATCTGCCTTGGCGCTGGCAATTTTTTGCCACAAACATCTGCGACAAAATGACAAAAGTGTTGTGTTTGCTAATAGAAAATTGCGCCTCAACCTATCCTGGCAATGATATGAAGTCAATGTTGGACAAAAATTGTGTGTATACGATTAATTACATCTGACAGCTGTGTATATATTATATCTGGTTGGTGGTTTTAACCATCTTGAAAAATATGAGTTCGTCAATGGGAAGAATGACATCCCATATATATTATGGAAAATAATCCATTCATGTTTGAAACCACCAACCAGATATGTAATTTAACAATAGCTATGGAAAATCACCATTTTTCATGGGTAAATCCACTATTTCTATGGCCATTTTCAATAGATCAACCCCGTTGACGCTATTGGATCAATCAACTGCTCTTCCACGATGTCTGTGGATTGGCCTAAAAAGAGGCACCGTATGTCGAACTCCTCCACTTTGGTTGACAAATCTACCCTTTTGCTGTTGACTTCCCCCCTTTTTCCAGAGCTTCAAATTGCACTTAAAATATCTTAAAATCACCATTCTCGTCAGCAAACATACTGTCAAACAACATCAAAAATACCGATTTCATTCTATAGGTCACTAGAAAAAAATATAACAACAAGAGAAGAGAAAACATCCAAAAACATTTACATAACGCATCTTTAACGGCATTCCAAAAAATCGCAGGGGACCTCCTTCGAACTGCGAGACCAAGTCCTTTGGCACCTCAACAAAAATACCGAGACGGCGGCGGAAGTGGGATTTAACATGAACTTTGACCTTTTGTATAAGGATCCAACATGAAATAGAGGCAAATCATCAAATCCGTATAGGAACTTGTCTTCAATGCGAGAAGACAGCCAGCATGTTAGAACGCAGAAAAAACATGATTTTCCTGGCTATTTCAAAAAAGTGTGCAAGTCGCGCAATTTCAATTTGGGAAGCCCATTAATTGCTGCCCATGAAAATCGATCCAACTTGATTCAGGAAGGTTTCATGAATTTCCATGATTTTCAAACCATGTCGAGTCCGCAGAGGACAGCTGATACAGCTGTATTAAGGGCTTGCCAGCGCCAGTCAATTTTTGAATATCTTTGGTTTATATTGGCAATAGTCAGGATGAATTGTAACAATTCAAAACTGTTTGTAATTCAAAACTATTTGGAGAGTTACGATAAGGTATAACTATCCCAAAATACCTTAATTCACCTGAAAACTTCGGCCATTTTGGGATATAACTTAACTTATTATTACCATAACCCTATTCTCATCATTCCAATGCGCAAGGCGACACCACAACCCAGCATTCACCCAGAAATTTCCTATAATTTCCCATCAGAAACCACCATGTGTCATGGTGAAGTCCACCATTGGAATGATATCCCCATAAGTTCCACCCCTCGTGAGATCGACGTGACCTCGACTTCATGCGTGATTTCTTCTTCCTGCGCGACAAGAGAACAAAAGGACACAACGAAAGTGCCAAATACACCGAAATCAGGACTCAAATGAGCACCACATCTATAAAACACACATTTTTGCCCAGCGTTCTGATTTTGGGCGCATGTCATCTATAGTGCTAGACTCATTCACCGATCGAGGTGCCAAAGCTTACAGATTATATCAGGGCTTCATTGGCATAATGTTTGTTTTTCCCGTACAGTACTCCATGTTTAGACACAAAATACCATAAGATACCATAAGCATACCTGGGAGATTGGGAAATCTCATGCCGCCCCGGCCCCTCAGGGTGGGCTCCTGGGGCCACTCAGAATAGCCCGCCTGCCAAGGGAATCTGGGGACTGGAGTGCCCTGAGGGTCATAGTCTCCATGACTGGAAGAACAAGAATCCCAGGGCTTTTGCTGTTTTAGTAAATTTATTTCAATCTGTTTTAGATGTTTTTGCCCACTGCAAGGGTTTTTCCCGATTCCCGCCAATTCTCCGTGTCAAGTCCGTCAGACTCCCAGCAAAGAATGGACCACCATTCACCTAAAAGAGTTCACAGAATAGCCAAGGAAGCTCACTTGGTCAGCCCGTTGTCCGGGTTCCTACAAAGCCACTCTAACATCTTTTTGCCAAACGCATGGGGGGTGTGGATTGCCAGACTTGACAAAAATCAAATCTCAATCTCCTGCCGGCTATGGGTCAAAATGTCCATTCTTCAGAACGTTGGAGTTCACTCATTTTTTGAGTAGGTGACTATATAATATATATATATATATATTATATTATATATTATATATATTATATATATATTTATTTATTTATTTATTTATTGTATGATGCCATGCTTGGAATACCCCATGCAAACCCAAACGCATGTGGCGATCACAGGCCCAAAGTAGTTGCATGTTGTCGCCATTCCCCACCCCTTCACCTCGCCTGTTGACCTTAGAAGGTACACTTTTTGCAGCTGAAGCTGATTCAAAAGCTCACTGGAGGTTCATGTCATGTCTGCAAATACTATAGTATACTATAGTACCCTCTGGTAATTTAACATAGCTATTGAAAATCACCATTTTTCATGGGAAAACTCACTATAAATGGCCATTTTCAATAGCTATTTTGACATAACCAGAGGGTAATCCATTTGTTTATTTCAATAAGGTTGATTTGTAGATCTTTCGGTCTGCCACATGTCCAATACTCCTGTCAAGGAACGCCAATAAATAAAAGTAGGGTTTTCAAGCTCTGCTATCCCTTTGGCAACTTAACATAGCAACAATCACCTAAAATCACCATGTTTAATAGGTAAGTCAACTTAGTAAATCATGTATAAATGGTCCGTTTTCCATAGCTGTGCTAAATCACCAGAGAGTAAGCAAATGAGAGGATGACAAGTGAAAAAAGAAAGGCACAAATAAATTGCTGAACATCATGATCCTGACCATAGGGATGGTCAACACATTCAGGTCATCACTAGGATCATCATTTATAGTCAGCATCAATTCATGATCACAGCTAATGGCCACAGTCACCACCATCTTTCTAGTGTTGTCGTCCTTGTTTGTATTTGATATCAGGGGAATGAGAACCGGGTTGATAGAGTGGGCTTTAAAAAAAACATGAGAGCAGGTAGGTTTGACGCCTCACACCAACAACAAGAAATACACGAAACAAGAAAGAAACTAGGCCGTGGAAGCATTTGAGGCTACGACCTTGCATGCCATGTTGATTGCCGTACTGGTTACCGTACTGCTGGTTGCCGTACTGGTTTCCGTACTGCTGGTTGCCGTACTGGTTGCCGTACTGCTGGCTGCCATACTGCTGGCTGCCGTACTGGTTGCCGTACTGCTGGCTGCCGTACTGCTGGTTGCCGTACTGTTGGTTGCCGTACTGTTGGTTGCCGTACTGCTGGCTGCCGTACTGCTGGCTGCCGTACTGCTGGCTGCCGTACTGCTGGCCTCCGTACTGCTGCTGGTTGCTGTACTGCTGGTTGCCGTACTGCTGGTTGCCAGACTGCATGCCTTGTTGCATGCCATGCTGGTCTTGCTGCGGGGTCTGCTGACCGCCACTGCCGTTCAGGTAGGCTAGCCTTAGTCAGGGAATGCCGGATAAGAATCCAAGGATATCTCACTAAATCACTTGAGACAGAACATCTCACATTTTGCCCCTACACTGCATATACCAAAGGGTCAAAAACTTGACATTATGTGGCTTCAATGGTGGGTCAAGATCTCTGAGACGAAATGGGGCGATAAAGGTACATCATGATATCATATGCCATTTATGCTCTTCATGGTATTATCATGCATATTTACCATCATTTACCACTATTTACCAGCTACATCCAGCTACCAATGCTTTGATCTGTGGATCCTTGAAGCAACGGAACGAGAGTTGACCCATTTCAATTCATTTCAACCGTGGATTGTATGTATCCCCTCTTTTTGTAGTTCGACAAGTCATTGTTGATATGTAAATCCCCGATGTTCAATAGATACTTGATCATACTTGATGGATCCTGGCATTGCATTCTAAGCAGTATCCGATCATCTGGTTTGAATCCCCATATTTCTTGGCAAATCACCCCATGTTGTTCCTTGAATCACCATGTTTCATTGCGTTTTTTAACCATGGCCAATCTTGGATACAACAAAAACTTCAGCTGGGTACTGTTAAAAACTGACATTCCACCCCAAAATATGGCAACCCAAAATTTCTCAGTACCAGCCATGGATTTTTCCATCGATTTCATACCCAACTCACCACTTGGTTGACGCACTCGGTGGCTTGTGGCTTGCCGTCCCTATTCAGGAAGACCTGGGACCCGGGCGAAAGTGCCAGACGTCTCTGAAAAAAAGAAGAGCTATAGGTATTCTAATTTTAAATAGAGGGATCACCTCGAAAATCCCAATCCCTTATTATATAATTATATATATATAATTATTATATAATATTATTATATAATATTATTATATAATATTATTATCTAATATTACTATATAATATTATTATATAATATTATTATATAATATTATATAATATTATATAATTATACTTGACATGGAGAGATCCCTTCAAAAGTCGAATAATAGGGGTGTTTTTCTCCTCGAAACTGCGGACCATTGACCATTGCTGGCGATTGTCGGAACCAGTCACAAACTACCCATTCTTTGCATCTTGATCCAGGTAGAAGGACAGTCCTGGTTCCGATAAGGCGCACTAAAATGATCAAGAATGATTTGGAGAAGGCGGAAAGGCTGTTGACCTCTCGTTTTCATCAAATAGCCGGACAAACAGCTCAATTATGCTCAATTAGATATATGATGATATATGATGATATATGAAGATATATGATAAAATGGTTATTAAATAAAATGGCGGCATGAACATGTCCGAAGATCTGGGGGCCGACAAAAAATATGGAAATCAGAAGTCTGAGCCCAGGCGGCCACACCCCAAAGCTCACGTTTTCGCCCTCTTTGAAGTTTCCCAGCTGCTTTTGATGCACAAAAATATCCTCAGAAGGCAGACCACTGGGGCTTCGAGAGTAGCAAAATTCAAGCTTCATCCAAGCAGGCATTGGAAATGCACCATCTATCTGATCATATCTCACTTAGTTACCTCTTACTAGCCATCTATAAAATCATCTAATTATACGCATTTTATGGACAACGTTCATCAACTTCAACATGTGGATTTTCCTTAGCTCCTTTTGAGCGCCGGATTGTCCCCAAAATCACCATGGCAAAAACGTCCCCTGTCCGGCCACCGGACCCGATCAGGGAATCTTTGTCGCAGCTCCTGACACCTGGCGCTTGAAGTTGAAGTTGGCCCTCAAAAAGGCAATGAAATATAGTATATATATAATATAATATAATCAAAAATATAATATAATATATAATATAATAAATTATATGTAAACATTAATGTAAATATGTATATAAATTTTGGGGAGATCATCATCTTAAATTCAAATTAAACACACTTAAGAAAATAATAAACATGGTTGAGACCACCAGCCCAGGGTGACCCAAAATATCCCAAAATTGGGTATCAATGGACGGAAAAGATGGTGATTGGAGATTGCTGTTGGTATTGAACTATCCATTTGGGGAGTAAATCATCTTAAGCCGCAGCCGGAGGATGGTGACATGATGGCCAAACGTTTCAGTGAATGTCTCCAATCATCCCAGCCATGGTGGATATGGTGATCTGGAAATTGCATGGACTGTGACTAGGTATTCATATGTATATATATATTAATATATATATATATTAATATATATATATATATATTAATATCTATATATTAATATCTATATAAGTCTATCTATGTATATATATACGTTTACCCAATAGCTTGGTACATGAATTCCATCAAGATCTAAAAACAACGATGATAAAAACTGTCATCTCCAAGGCGTGTCCGACGTGTCCTCTTGGAATTCTGTGGCTGATCTTATCATGCGAAGTGACTATCCATTCACCAGTCAGTTTAATAGTTTACCATAGTTTACCGGTGAATCCTTCTGTTGGCTACAAATCCAAACTTCACTTTTGTTAAATCCACAGTATGGAGATATATCAGTAGTTGTTGGCTAAGCATTCACCAGCAACACCCAGGAGACAGCCATGCCCCCATAACCCTTGGTATCGTGAATTTCACACTGCGTTGCTGGATCTTCAAACCGTGCCATCATGCCATCGGCATCACCAATCCTACACCCATGGTTTGTTTTCTATGATTTGGAGGTCACTAAATGGCATCACCCATGTTTTATGTCCATAATTGTGTTCTATTCATATAGTCATATAGCGCATATAGTGCTATCCTGATGTTTCTTGCGATCTCTAGTCAAACCTCCCACCTTCTCACCTGTTCAAGATTTGGAGGTCACACCTTTTCCATCGCTAAACCACGCCTGATGAAGCCGAAGCCCTTGTCCATCAAATACTTCACGATTTGACCTTCAAATCGTCGGTCCTGCGAAATCAGGACCGCCCCTGGAGATCTGCAGCCCTACCAAGACAATCCCTACCAACAAGCACCACAAGTACGATTCATTACCAAGTACACCGGCCTATTCAGTCAAAGTACAAAACAAAAAAAAGGCAGCGCCCAACCCCCAAACAAATGACCCCACAACCAGAAGTTCTTTCATCTGAGCAAAGTCATTAACCTGAAAAAAACAGTGCCGTTTTGGGAGATAGCTACCCTTACTGCCCTTCGGTAATCAAACATAGCCATGGAAAATGGTACATTTAGTTTCATGTTTTGCCCCTGGTATTTTGCATACTGGTGACTGACTGTCCTTGAATCAAACTGCAACAGTTATTTCACTTAGGGCAACCAATCACTGATTAGCTTTATTGGTTTCCATCAAATAAATAAAATCCCATCAATGGTTTGCCATCATAAAATCCACCATTACACCATTGATCTAAAATCAAATCATAAAGATCATGATGGGTTTTGATCAGTGATTTGCAATCATAAGTGGTGGATGATCTAACTCCATCATTCTTCTAATCATTGATCTAACTCAACCATCATAAAGTCATAACATAAAATTCACCATAAATTCATAGGATCCATCAGTGATTTGCCATCAACAAATCCATCATTGATCCTAAAATCCATCCTAAAATCCGTCCTAAAATCCGTCCTAAAATCCATCCTAAAATCATAACCCCTACATAACCAACGGTCCACCTGGCTTATTTTTCTAAGATTCCATAAATCCAGGGGATATACAAAACCCATGAATCATAGTTTTCTGGTGGAATCTCATGGGTTTTCTACGAATCCACCGTAGGGGCCATCATAAAATCCGATAGATTCCACCAGATTTCCATCGCTGCCTGCCATGAACCCAACCCCAACACCCCCTAGCTCCGTGAGACCGGCGACATTCCTTTGGAGGACCGGCCCACCGAACGGAGGCGACCGAAAAATGTGTTATAACTTAATCTAGTTATAGAATGTTATATATAATGCTATATAATGTTGGATTTAGATCATGTTAGATAATGTTATAGAATGTTGTATACAATCCCTGAAATCTTATAAGCATAGTGCCATAAATCCCATATTCTATGGTCCCAAATAGGTGGAAATCGCCCCCATTCAACCATGCTTTCTGGGGGGTGTTTAGTATTAGGGGGATGGGAGTAGTTATGTAATGTTATATACCCATAGAAATTTGATGGGATTTAATGGGATTTATGGGATTTAGCCTCTGGTTACTGGATATAGCTATGCTATAGATGGCCCATAGAAACAGATAATAAACATGATGGTAAGCATGATGATTAACATGATGATTTACCGTTGTTGAAAATTGTGATTTTCCATAGCTACGTTAAATTGTCAGAGGGTGTATAACCCTAGAAATCCTTCAGAATGCCATAAGTGAGTTGTAACATGTTGTAAACACAAACAGCTATAAAGCTCTAATATGCCCTAGTCATGGTAGTTGTAAACCCAATTACATCGGTATACAAAAGGGGCACAGCGCAAAGGGGGACCAGTGGTATGTCAGGATAATGGGTGCATAGGAAAAACTGCAAATATGCAAACCTCGAAGCACTAGCGGCACAGTTCCACAGATGTTGATGAGGCTAGGAGGAAAAAAAAACTCGATTTCGCTAAGATGATTCTCGTCATGTCCCATCCAAAATAGTGGCCAAACTTATATCATCATGATTGGTTTCCCTGTGCAAGTCAATCGATTTTAAGAAGTCGCCACCACTCCTCCCCAGCAGCCCGACTCACAAGCTAATGCAAACCCAGAGGCTGCTCCATCGCGCCTGTGGGTCAATGGTATGAACATCAGTCAAGAATTACAACATGGAGGCGTCCTAAAATGGTGGTATCCCAAAAACCATAGGTTTCACTTCCAAAAAGGTCAAACTTTGGATGATTTGGGGGTACCACCAGTTTATAGATGTTCATTATATCATATTATATCTATCACATGAAAATCAAACCATCTGAATCTGGCTCAAAAATCAGTGTCTGCCAAACTGCAGGCCATCTTCAAGGGGTACCCCAAGATGGATCGCAGATGGTTTTCTTCAAACATCGACGATCCCTCAACTGGTTTTCATCATATTCCCTCAACGGCGCGCTTGATTTGATCCATGGAACATTTCGGAGATCATCTCCCCCATTTTCACACACCCACACCCATGGGCTCGCTGCTGGCGTGTCAAGCCCCTTTTTTTAAGACCCAAAGTTACCAGCCAGTTTTTAGTCAAGTCCATTAAAGTTTATGAAATTTCCCAACAAATCCCACTCAAAATCCCAATGGAATCCCACTAAAATCCTAGTAAATACAATTAAATCATATGAAATCATATTAAATCATACTAAAACATGGTGCCGGGCATCTGAGGGGGCCCCCGCTGTTGTCACTTTTCAAACATTTTACACGGGGGACCACAAAACGCTGAAAAACATTGAAAAACGAAACTTTAGCATCAGGAGCAATTTCATCATCATCATCATCATCATCACCATCATCACCATCATCATCATCATCATTTACATATCCATAACAATCCACCTAACACCCGCCCTACGATCTGGAAGTGCATGAGAACGTACAGCGGCGTAGCATGACGTATGTGTGCAAGTGCATGAGAACGTACAGCGGCGTAGCATGTTGTATGTGTGCAAGTGCATGAGAACGTACAGCAGCGTAGCATGACGTATGTGTGCAAGTGCATGAGAACGTACAGCAGCGTAGCATGACGTATGTGTGCAAGTGCATGAGAACGTACAGCAGCGTAGCATGACGTATGTGTGCAAGTGCGTGAGAACGTACAGCAGCGTAGCATGACGTATGTGTGCAAGTGCATGAGAACGTACAGCGGCGTAGCATGACGTATGTGTGCAAGTGCATGAGAACGTACAGCGGCGTAGCATGACGTATGTGTGCAAGTGCATGAGAACGTACAGCAGCGTAGCATGACGTATGTGTGCAAGTGCATGAGAACGTACAGCAGCGTACGCAGCTCCTGCAACCGAATTTCCACGGCATCGGACGACGCGGACGACGCGGTCGCATGCTCCATTCGCACGGACATTCCCTTCAGCAAATGAAACAGCGACCACAAAACATCCACAAACGTCACGGGTGCGTGACTTGAACCAAACATTTTGCATTCAGAAATTCCGAGACATGCATATCTGTTCGCTTGATTTCAAAACAATGCCATGACATGCTTGCTTTCAAAACAAAACAATGCCATGACATGCTTGATTTCAAAACAAAAAAGTTTGAGTTCAGGACCATACTCTGTCATTGAGCGACACTCGTCCAAACAACAGCATCGTTGTGTGGTCTCAACCTTGGTGTAGCGCGCACCATCGAAAGCAGTTGTATTGCTGTAGTGAACGACACAATCAATTGAAATGTCTACACGTGCCCAAGCATCATCACTCTCCCTTCAACTAAACGAACCGAGCTCCACACGTCCTAGCACGGATGCACTAGCAAGCATTTTCACCCTCAATCTCTAACAGTTCCATGTCGTGCGGTAAAAGCCTTTTAAACCAAAAATTACACACAAAAGCTTTTACACACAAACGCTTTTACACATGGCGCGTTTACACAAACACTCTTTGACACACAGACGCTTTGACACACAAAAGCCTTTACACACAAACACTTTTACACACAGACGCTTTTACACACAGACGCTTTTACACACAAAAGCTTTTACACACAGACGGTTTTACACACAGACGCTGTTACACGCAGACGCTTTTTACACACGCACACACGTTTTCACACACAGACGGTTTTACACACAGACGCTTTTACCCACAGACGCTTTTACACACAGACGCTTTTACACGCAGATGCTTTTTACACACGCACACACGCTTTCACACACAAACGCTTTTACACACAGACGCTTCACGGACACTTCAAGACAAAGACGCTTTTACACACAGACACTTTTACACACAAACGCTTATACACATAGAGGCGTTCACACACAGACACTTTTACACAAACGAAAGCGTCCATCGTAATTTTTCCTCAGTTTTTGACATCCAACGTCCATTTCGTGCGAAAGGGTTGCGATTGACCAAGTAAAATCGCAATTTTTCCTCAGTTTTTGATGTCCAACGTCCATTTCGTGCGTAAGCGTTGCGATTGACACCTCAAAGTCGCAATTTTTCCTCAGTTTTTGAAGTCCAACGTCCATCTCGTGCGAAAGGGTTGCGCGCGACGCATCAAAGTCGCAATTTTTCCTCAGTTTTTGACGTCCAACGTCCATTTCGTGCGAAAGGGTTGCGATTGACACCTCAAAGTCGCAATTTTTCCTCAGTTTTTGACGTCCAACGTCCATTTCGTGCGAAAGGGTTGCGCGGGACGCTTCAAAGTCGCAATTTTTCCTCAGTTTTTGACGTCCAACGTCCATTTCGTGCGAAAGGGTTGCGCGGGACGCTTCAAAGTCGCAATTTTTCCCCAGTTTTTGACGTCCAACGTCCATTTCGTGCGAAAGGGTTGCGATGGACACTTCAAAATCGCAATTTTACCTAGGTTTTGGACGTCCAAAGTCCATTTCGTGCGAAAGGGTTGCGTTTCGTGGCGCTCCGGCGGCACCGCCCCCGCCTTAAGAGAGAATAGAAGAAGAGCGAGAGGAGATCTGCAGATGTGAAGGTGTGAAGATGTAGATCTGCAGATGTGAGGGTGTGAAGATCTAGATCTGCAGGTGTGAAGGTGTGAAGATGTAGATCTGCAGATGTCAGGGTGTGAAGATGTAGATCTGCAGATGTCAGGGTGTGAAGATGTAGATCTGCAGATGTGAGGGTGTGAAGATCTAGATCTGCAGGTGTGAAGGTGTGAAGATCTAGATCTGCAGGTGTGAAGGTGTGAAGATGTAGATCTGCAGATGTGAGGGTGTGAAGATCTAGATCTGCAGGTGTCAAGGTGTGAAGATCTAGATCTGCATCTGCATGTGAGGGTGTGAAGATGTAGATCTTCAGGTGTGAAGGTGTGAAGATCTAGATCTGCAGGTGTGAGGGTGTGAAGATCTAGATCTGCAGGTGTGAGGGTGTGAAGATGTAGATCTGCAGGTGTGAAGGTGTGAAGATGTAGATCTGCAGATGTGAGGGTGTGAAGATGTAGATCAGCAGGTGTGAAGGTGTGAAGATGTAGATCAGCAGGTGTGAAGGTGTGATGTGAGGGTGTGAAGATGTAGATCAGCAGATGTGAGGGTGTGAAGATGTAGATCAGCAGATGTGAGGGTGTGAAGATGTAGATCAGCAGATGTGAGGGTGTGAAGATGTAGTATAACGGCTGCTTTTTTACGAAGAACCCTTCGCAGGCGCTCTCGGGAATAATCTGCAGGAAAGCTTTGCTAGCAATGAGCCTGAACACTGGCATGTGTTTTTTGGCTAAGACACATTTTGCTTCCAAGCAACTTCTTAGCCAGATTCCAACTATTGAATTCGTGGTCAACGTTGCATGGCAGCATTGGCACCCCAGCTGATCTAGCCATGGAGTCACAATGCATCACGGTCCTTAGCAGAGCCCAGAAGCATGCAAAAGAATCATTGATGGAAGAGAATAACATGGTGGCAGATCGCTGTTGCTGTTGTCACTGTTGTTGCTGTTGTGTTTGTTGTTGATCCTGGCTTCTAGCATATTTGTGGGTCTTGTTACTGTGTGTTTTGTTGCTGTCGTTATTGTTATTATTGTTGCTGCTGCTGCTGATGTGTTCTGTGTTCTTGGTGGGCTTGCTGATGAAATTATTGTTCATCCTGGATTCCAGGACAGCTTGCTTCTTGTTCTTGTTGTTGTTCTTGTTGTTGTTGTTGTTGTTGTTGCTGTTGTTGTTGTTGTTGCTGCTGTTGCTGCTGCTGCTGCTGCTGGCGTGTTCTGTGTTATTTTTGGGCTTGCTGATGAAATTATTGTTCATCCTGGATTCCAGGACAGCTAGCGCAAGCTTGTTTGAGCTTGTTTGAGCTTGTTTTTTTATTTTTTTTGTTGTTGTTGTCTCATCAACATCCTTGTTCAAGGTCCATTCTTTGTGAATAATCATGAATAATCAAAACCAAGTGTCTTGTAACCAGTTTTGCCAAGGCAGCTGACCACGGTGACATTGTCGAGGTTCTTGACATTGTCGTAATCAAAGAAGCCCCCGAGCCAGATGTTCTTGTAGATGTTTGTCCTGGGACCACATGGATGGTGAATCATGGTTTTGCATCTCAAAGTGGCAAGCTCCAACTAGTAGATGGTCACAATGATGTTGGCCTAAAAAGGACCGATCGTAATTACACCATGACACATGATTCTGACCACAAAGCTGTTTGAAACAAACTGTTGTCATCTATGTAGGCAGCAAAGATTCAAGTGGTTTCCATAGATATCCGTGATGTTCGAGAGGACCGTAGCTGGATGGCTTTCCTAGCAGGGCACAATACTAGGGCTGCTGGATATGAGAAAACAAAGACATTTCTGTGACAATGCCATTTGAACGCCAAAGTGGGAATGGAACATTTAAATGCAGTCTGATACAAAAACAGAAAACAAACTCAGAACTAGTCCAATAGACTTGTTTGGTACGCACATCTTGAAGAGAGAGGAATCCAACAAACTGTTCCATATCATTGTCATCTAAGTGGCTCCCCGGGGACGCTTCTTTGGCATGATGGGCCTTGCCTGGCACACTCAAGAAAGAAAAGCAAACTACCAACTTGAGAGAATGTCATCCCCAACAAAAAGTAATGCAAAAAAAATCAAGCATTCCAACAAAATATTGTAGTCTTGCGATCTTGACAAGTCTCTAGTCTAGATTATAAAACCCTCAAAGGCCCAGCTAGTCCATATGTTTGTCCTAAACCGCCAGACAACAGAAGGCCAAGATACAGGCGGTCTCTGTATGGGCATAGCTTTGGCCAGGATTGGACGCACAGCCTGCATGTTGTGAGCAAAATTGGCTCACATAATAAAATCACACACTTTCATCAATTGGTTGACTCTGCAGACAATTAGGCATCAATGGTAATTTGGTGGGTTGGACTCTTTTGTTGACATTCTATTTGATTCATTGTCTGAAGCATTGCTTCTCACACATGGAAGGTCGTTATTAATTTCTCGTTTATAAGCCAAAGGTTCTGATAGAGGTCCAGGATGACCAAAAACAAGCCAAGGAGCAGTGGATGATGCAGCAGATGAAGGGTGGGCAGCCTCCTGGCATGACGTATGTGTGCAAGTGCATGAAAACGTACAGCGGCGTAGCATGACGTATGTGTGCAAGTGCATGAGAACGTACAGCGGCGTAGCATGACGTATGTGTGCAAGTGCATGAGAACGTACAGCAGCGTAGCATGACGTATGTGTGCAAGTGCATGAGAACGTACAGCAGCGTAGCATGACGTATGTGTGCAAGTGCATGAGAACGTACAGCAGCGTAGCATGACGTATGTGTGCAAGTGCATGAGAACGTACAGCAAATGACGCTATTATCCCCCACCCCCCCACCCCCCTCGTCTATGATGTTGTTTTTAGTGTAATGTCAAAAACTGACAACAGCGGGGGCCTCCTCAGATGCCCGGCACCTAAAACATATTAAATCATATTGAATCATGTTTATTTCCCCTTCTCCACCTTCTCCCAATAAAAATTGATTTCATTCCCATCAAAATGTCCAAGCATTTCCCACCTGGGCACACCAGGGCGATCCCGTGCTCCGCTCGGGTCGCCACGTCCACGCCGCGTGGCCGGAGGGTGCCGAGCGGAGATGAGCAGCGACAGCTGCGACAGATGGGAGTTTCGTAGATGTTTTTCTAGCGGTTTTCCATGGGAAATCATGGAAACTCCCATCGAATTTTCCATGGGTTTCCATGGGAATTTCTAGAGGAAACGTAAAAATCTAGATGGGAGTTTCAATTTCCATGGGGTTCATAGATTTTTAGATCGATGTGTACGAGAAATTGATTGATTTTTACGCTTTGAATCAAAGTGTTTATTGATTGTTGTAGAATGTTGTAGAATGTTTCATCATTTGTTTGTGGATATTTTTCTGGTGTTTGGCCAGAAATTTGGAGACAAACTTCATGTGAATATGCAAGCCAGTTTATCCATAAATGAGGATATACCCTCCGGTAAACTAACATAACTATGGAAAATCACCATTTTTCACGGGAAAATTCACTATAAATGGTGATGTTCCATAGTTATGTTAAATTACCAGAGGGTAACCATTCAGAAATTGTGTTTAAACCATCAATAATGCGGCGAACCCAATGCCATACATACTCTGCAAATCGGGCATCTCCGTATTAATACGGCGTAAATGGCCAAGGCGGCCAAGGGCCTAGTCCCTACAAGTAGGATCCCGGCCATGAAATATCCCAATTACTCCAAGTGAAGTTGGTGTGGCACCACCAACACAATGTGCTGAAAGGTCACCACTCAACATCACTCAACATTGGAAATCCCGTCAGAGTCGGAATATGACAAGTCACAAACCTCGTATATCAACGGATGCTGCGGGCAGCAGAAAGCGGATGATCCATGACATCATGGTCCAAAGGGGGTGCCTCTTTTTGGGATAACCCTTACATGGCCATGGTAATTCATTAGAAAACAAAAGGTATACCCTCTGGTTATGACTAACATAGCCATGGTATAGATGGCCCATAGAAATAGATGGTTTACCTATTAAGAATGGTGATTTTCCATGGCTATGTTAAATAACCAGAGGGTATATCTTTTCAGACCCCACAAGCAAATACGAGTAGCATAAATAGCACATGTAGCGAAGGTGAAGTTGAAAAAAATTGTGGAATCCCCGGAATCGTAAGTCGTGCGCCACAAGCCACAAAATAGATCATCACAAGCATCAAATCGGCTCCCCACACCAATTATATCCGAGCAATCCAACGCACAAAAAAACATCTTCCGAACGAACCCGTCTTTTGATGCTTGTGTATGCTGATGATCTAATGTTCCTTGCGGTCCTTGCCTAAAATCCGATTCTTTTGAAACTGACGTAAATTGAGATTGTCTGTCAAATACATACCCCAAAATCCATTCCATGGTTTATCATCTATCGTCATTGTCCCTCCAAAAATTGCCATCAAGTGGGGGTAGCTCACTGCACAGTGAAGCCCTTTCCGCATGTTTTGCGCCGCGGGGCCACCTGCATGGGCAACCTGAATGGAGCGCTTCGTGCTGACACCATTTTATGGCTTGGCATGGCTGGTTCAGTGGATTTGGCGGTACCATAGGGCCCGAGCTCTTTGAAAATTCCTTGATCAATAAGTGATGAGACCCTCTGGCCAACAAAACATGGCATCCAAGGGTCCTCATTATCAATTAGACATATTAGACCCTTGCACAAATCATCCACATAAATATCAGAATATCTACCCAAAAAGGTAATCAAATATGGTTTGGAAAATCCCCACATTTATGAGTTTCCGTGAGTTTCCCAGCTATAAACCTCCATTCATTACGGGGGGGTTCACTTGCTATGCTGACACCAACCTCACCCACCTTAGACGTTCTCCAACATCTCCAAGGCTTCTTTGAGGTCCTCAACGAGTCCCAAGGAAGATCCATGAACCATCAAAAATGGTGGTTTAACCATCAATATTCAATGGATTTCACGGGGTTTAATGGGATTTGATGGGAGTATCGATGGATTGGTTGAAGGAATATGATGAACTGGAAACTGGTTGGTTTTCCCCATCAATTTTATGTGGGTGTCCTGTAAATTTCCCCCTTCAACCAATCCAATTAATACATATATATATATATTAATATGTTTTGCTGGTCCTCCGAACAAACCTCCATGATATTCCATGTAATGTTGTAAACCCAGTGCAAAAAAAATCCCCGATAGAGATCTACTATTGGGTATACCTCTATTTGGGATAATGTAAAATGACCCCAAAATCCATGGTTAATGGGATGGTTTACTACTGGGTAAACTACATCATTTGATATATTGGATATGTACAAACTTATGTAAACATGAAACCTCTGGAACATCTTTGAAATAGCAAACACCATTCCGTTCCTATCCTGGATAATGGGGTTTTTGGTGGTGAATTTTCCAGGTCCAAGGCATCTTGCTGAGAATAGCTGGATGTTTCATTTCATGGAAAACCCCAGTCCCAAAAATGGAATTATCCCGGCAAAAGACCCCAAACAGTGTGGGGGAGTGGCAGGATAATGTATGATAATGTTGATGATGACGGTGAGGAGGATGATGGTGATGATAATGTTTACGGACGATGATGTTGAAGATGATGATGTTGAGGATGATGAGGTGCAGGAGGATGATGTTGAGGATGATGAGGTTGAGGATGATGACGTTGAGGATGATGATGTTGAGGAGGATGAGGATGAGGATGATAATGCGGAAGATGAAGCGGAGGATGAGAAGGTGGAGGATGAAAATGTTGGGAAAGAGGAGGAGGAGGATGATGATGATGCTGTTGAGGATGATAATGTTGAGGACGGTGTTGATGTTGCTGAAGGGGAGGTGGAGGTTGATGAAGTTGAGGATGATGAGGTCAAGGGGGAGGAAGATGACGATGTTGAGAATGATGATGTTGAGGGAGAGGAAGATGATAATGCTGAGGATGATGATGTTGAGGAGGAGGTTCTGACTGGGACCCGCACTTTGTGCAAGCCTGCGCAAGCGAAATGAACTTGAACATTTCACAAGAGCCACTTTATGCGAGAATTTACAAGAAAAAAATGCCAGGGCCCAGGGGACCACACTGGCGACCACACTTTGCGCGAGCCTGCGCAGTCGAAATGCACTTAGACATTTCCCAAGACCAACTTTACACTTTACACGGAAATTTACAGGAAAAATGCCGCAGCCCAGAACCGCGACACAGACTTTGTGCGAGCCTGCGCAATCGAAATGCACGTGGACATTTCCCAAGAGCCACTTTACACAGGAATTTACAGGAAAAATGCCGCAGCCCAGATGGAGCACCCTGATCAAGCACCGGCCTTTATTCTCACCGTAAGAACCACTCAGTGTGGACACGCTTCACGAGCTTGCTCTGGAGCCTTCATGTGTTGCGCGGGCATGGCTCTGAGCCAGTGGCAGCACACTGTTTGGGGGAAAAAAACTGACCATAGGCCCCCAAACGACTGGACATAGCTCCCAAATAAATCCCAAAATCCCACACAAATCCATCTCCAGCATCCCCCATCTGCCTTCATTTCTTGTTCCCTCTGCGCTTTGCGCTCGGCATAGGACTTTCCTGTGTCCACACAGTCAGGCCTGCAGCGTGCGGCGGCCTTGAAGGTTAAAAGCTATGGCTTTCCAAGGCAAAAATGGTGGTTTGTAAACTTGAAATGCTTAGTTTGCCCCAGACAAAAAGTGGGAAAAGGTGAGAGGGTCAAGCGTTTCAACAATGAAAAATGTTGGTTGAGGAAGCAAAAACAACAGGGGGTTACCCTCCAGTACTCAAACATGTTGGGAATAGGTCGAAATTCAGCTTCAAATGGATTAAAGTGGTGGGTTTTTTCCAGCACACCATGCTTGGTTGCCACAGGGTATGACCACATACCAACAAGCTACATATAGATAATATGCAGAGTATATGTAGTAGGTCATTTAGTTGTTTTGCTTTTCATGTCTACTTTTGTTTTCTACCAGTTGACTTATGTGTAATTCTCAAAAACCACGAAACAAGCTGGTCTGTATTGGCAGAGGGGAAACTTTGTTGGGGTATCTCGGGTGTACCTCAATTCGCATTTCATGAAACCCACCATCCCGTTCAGAGATGAAACTCATGTACACACTAATCCTTTAGCCTGATCTATCCTATGTACAGCCTTGGAGACAGCCTCAATGCCTGAAAAATTAAGGAAAAATCACAAATATTCTAGTTCCCCCTTTCTCACGTCTCTTGATTTATGTTTTGATTTATGTCATCAACATACATGCATACGATCTATAAACATCAACATCCACGCCCTATGCATCCTATGTCCATGCACAAAGCAACTGTTCATCTCATCCCAATCTCAGCAACCCCTTCTCTTGATTTGTTTCAGGGCCCCACAAAACATTGTATACCACGGTATATCCCAAACCCAGGTTTTTATCATCATTTTCCCAAGTCACAAGGACATGATTTGGGTGTAAATCCCCAGTTTGGAGACAAATAAATCTCAGATTGTTCGTTGTATATCCTGTCTTTAATATCTGCAAAGAATGTTTGAATCTCCCCAATTCCCCATGTTTGCACAAACAATGACACACAACCATATATATATATTCAAATCCCTCAAAATCCCGTTAAAATTGCAATAAATCCCATGATATCCAACCCCCTTGAGATCCAAATAACATCCAATCATGAATTATCCTTAAAAATCCAAATAAAATCCCGTTCAAACTGACGTAGAATTGCCATATGTCCTCAAAAGACAGCAATCTAATGGAATTTTGATTGGATCCAAAACTTTCACTTAACTTCAAACCCAAATCCCATCTGAATCCCAGAATCAATCCCGAATGCACAAAATCCCATGTTTCCAATCAAAATCCCAGCCTCAAATCCCTGTAGAATCCCATTAAAACCCACTAAATCCCATAAAACCCTCCTAAAAACAACAATGGATCCTATTCAAATCCCAAGAAAACCCCTCCAAAGCCTCAACTTCTCATAGTAGGCATTGGCCGCATCCAACTCCTTCTGCGTATTCTGCAAGTCACCATCGGCCGCGCTCAGCTCTTGGGCCTGACTGCTTTGGAGGTGCGTGAGAAAAGAGGTCTTGGGATATACAATCATTGGATATATAGCCATCAGTTGATGAAAATTTAAAGCATTTTACAGGACTTTAAATCTAAATATTTTCCGGATTTGCTAAATTTGCCACATTCCCTCCGGAAAAGTATTACAGTTTGCACTGGACAATGGCCCAATTGGTTCGATCATTGGCGTTGTGATTCCGAGCGCTCTGAAATTTCGGAATTTGGCCAGGCGACGGTTAGTGGAAATCAGCCTTTGGGGCGGCACCAAACAGTTGCTGTCCGAAGGGATATAAGGTGTTTATCCGATTATCCTTTATTTTTGTCATTTAACTATACGGAAATTGCGAGGTTTCAAGCCGACCCGACCACCGTTATACCAGCGCACCTTATAAGCATCTATTGTAGTTCGACAAGTAGTTAGTAAATGGGCCATAAACCAGCATATATACAGCTACAAGGGGGTTACCAACCAGTCAACCAAGTCCATGGCCAATCGATACGTAGAAGTGAAACTAAGCATCATTCCAGTGACGTCACGACGTAAGGTCAAGATCAAGATCTCAGCCAGAATAATCCAGAATATATCCCATGATATCCCCACTAAATCCAGGGAATCATCCAAAATCCCATAATTTGAGGTTCCATCAGTTAGATACATCCCGGTTTAAACTTTAAACCCATGAGATAGTTAGATGTACCAAAATGTCCACCCCGTCAAATAACCCCATTAAATATCATGCTCAGACACCCAAAGTTTTATGGCTGGGTGCGAGTCAAAATTGGGCACCCCCAAAACGGAATGGCAAGTACCATACATTTAAAATTTACCAAAAACTGTGGCCCCATGACTCTTTAATGTTGACCCACATCTCCAAAAAATACATCAAAATGCATCCAAATGCTCATTGCTTCATACTTCTATATACACATATCGAATGAAAATCCCATTAAATCCCATTAAACACCCAACTAAAACCCATAAAAGACCCAAGAAGAAACACAACCGGCGCAGAAATCGGCCACCGCGTTGCTCTTCTTACTGGTCTTCTGCTTCACAGCAGCTTCCTTGCTGGCCTGGGTCCCGGGAGCATCAGGAGATTCATGTGCACCATGCCCCAGTCATAAAACAATGCCAGTTGCACCCCCAGTCAGTCATCACCATTTTAATTAATATAGCTGGTATATATATATAGTATGTTTACCATTCCCAGTCATGGCTGGTAAAAATGGCATTGTTTTACCCACATTCATATAAAGTGAATGTATCTAACTAAACAAGAATTAACTTGTCCTACTTGCAGGATCACCTCACGAATCGTAACTGGTGAGTGTTTCTGGGGCTTAGTTCAGCCATTTATCAATGGGATAACCGGCGTAACCTGGGGACTTACAATGGCCAGGGTTATTACCCTCTGGTAAACTAACATAGCTATTGAAAATGGCCATTTATAGTGGATTTTCCCATTAAAAATGGTGATTTTCCATAGTTACGTTAGTTTACCAGAGGGTAACCAGTTACTAAGTGGGAATGATCCCCCAATTCTTGAATAGCCCAAGTTGAAACAGATTCGTTGAACAATTATATGAACTAACGATGTAATACTAGCAAAAGTCCATGAGCCTTTTATAACTGTCCAAAGGTAATATCGTGGTCATGATGTTTGTTAAGTTGGGATATCTCAAACATCATGGGATATATCTACAAGAAATATCCCAAAATTACTGGATATTAATATTGATATAACATGGAATATAATTAAGTTGATATATAGCATGAAGATATTGATAATATAATTATTGTTGATATATTGATATTTTGATATAACATGAATGTAGGTAACAAATATTGGTACAATCCAAATAAGAAACCATCCCCAATTTACCAGAAATAGGTGTGTATTAGCAATCGAAGATTGAAGGTTATTTTATATTGGGTTACACCAGTGTAATTACAACTATTGGTTTTCAGCATAATAACAAAATGACCCTTGGCAAATCATGATAATCAATCAATTATGATACATCAATCAAATATAGGGCCGTTCTTGTTTGGAAATGAGAACTGCTATTAAAACTGTCCTACAATATATATATATATATCAATATATGATATATAAAAGCATGCATTGCGTACATATATTTATACTTTATATATATATATACAGTATATGGGTGGTTCCTAAATTGTGGTACCCCAAAATGGATGGTTTATAATGGAAATTCCTCCTAAAATAGATGATTTGGGGTACCCCGGTTTGAGGAAACCTCCATATGTAACATATATATATATATTATAATTATATATATATTATATATAATATGTATATTATATATATATGATTGAGCTATGCATTCTGGTACTCTAACATGGCAATGGAGAATACCCCCGCTTTGTAGGACGACTTGTTCACATTCGCTCGCCTTGTCCATCTTGGAGTCCTCCATGAACTCATCGTACTCCTGGCGAAATTCTGAGCCCAGTTTCGCGAAGCTTCCAAGGGGAGGCCAGAAACAAAACCCCAAGAAACAGCCATGAAATTCGGTGATGTAAGGATGTTGAACTGGTTTGTGATGGTTTGCTTTCCAAAATGTGGAGACAAAACCAGCCTCAACCTGGAGTTTTGACAATGCTAACAGCTAACAAAGAGAAGTCTCATCTGCATACTTACTTTGGACATCTTCCAACTCTTTCTGCCAGAATCAGAACATGACTTCGTTACTTTGTGGGCAAACAAATGTACCACCCAAGATCACCTAAGCAGCATCAAATGTTAAGCAATCCTGCACCTGCTACTTGAACCCGTCCAAGCAATACTATAGCCAGGTCTGCGGGCTGCAAGGACCTCCGTTTTTTGGGTTCCCTCTATTCGTTGAACTTCCCTCATTTCCTATGGGTGCAATCGGAAATGGCCCAAATGGCCCCCAAAAAAAATCTTCATGTTCAGATCACTGGTCTGAGGAGATGCCAATATATTTCTGGCGTTATCCTCCACCAAGAACACCAATGCTTTAAGGGTCGTAACACCCCCAAAAAGTCTGTTCTTGCCGTTTCTTCCCATCCCAACTTCGAATCATCCATCAACGCCTAACTTGAACAAGGAACCAAGCCCAATTGTTTTGCTTCCATACAGGCGTTGTCTGAAGATGCGGTACACCCCAAATGGCTTGCCATTTGGAGGGAAAATGATGAAGCAGTGGATTTCGCCATCTATCATCATCTATCCAATCCTCCCCCTCCTTTGGAATATCCGGTACAAGTCAAAAAGAAATCTCATTGGTTGATGCTTCTTTCATGGGTCATTAAATGTCCCCATTGAACATCACCCAACCATTAGGTATATGGTCTATTATGGCTACTATAAGGTGATGTCCAATATACCCAAAATGGGACAGTTACCAACCCCTGTTCTTTCCAGGTGTTCAGAAATATAAAACCTGACGTACTGTACAGTGGCCAGGTGACGCACTTTTCGTGTTTTGTTTTCACATGTGGTATCTTTGGTTTATTAATTATGTTGAATCCTAATCCCATAAAATCATGTTAAATCCAGTTTAATCCCATAAAAACGTATTCAAGTCCATCCCAAAGAGGAAACCCACTTGGGGCTTTCCCCGGAGTTTCGGCTCCTTCTTGGACGCCTCCTCCGCGGAAGTGGTTTCCGCCTCCAGACGCGCAAAGTCGCTCTCGATCACCTGGAGATCTGCGCACTCTGCCGGTGGCTGTGAAAAAATTGGCGGAAGATATGGGAAGATTTCAGAAAAATATGGAGGAATTCATTAGCTGATTGAAAAATGTGGGAATTCATTGAGATATGTTTGATATGTTCACTGAGTTAAAATATATATATATGGGAATTCATTGAGATATGTTCACTGAGTTCACTTAGAATCCAGGACTGAAAAATGGATTTCATGGAACAGTTCTTGTGATTTCTTCCTGATTTGGAGCAACAAAAAAATTGATCTGGGCGAAATGGTGATTTCCGGTTCCGGCAATGGGGAGTGAAGTGGCCGACTCCAAAAGAAAAATCTGTGCCCAAAAGGGCCCAAAGAAAGTGGAATTTTCACCCGCAATCAGGGATCCAGAGGCCTCCATCATGCCGATGACACCACCGCTCTCGCCACCCATGCCAGTGTAAGGCCTGGGAGCGGTCATGGCATGTCCTACGATATGTCTCTGCACTGCATTGACTAGCCAGTAGTTAGTTGAACGGCGATACACGTATAGAGAACAGCGAACCAAGTGAGATTCTGTGGTCTAAGGGTTTATTTGACTATGAATGGTTAAACTATATGAAAAGCTTAGCCTTGGATACCCTTCAAGACAAAATATGTTTTGGTTTGGGCTGGATGTTGGATATTGTATAATCCCAACGATGTTCCCCCATTTGAGAGTCCACTTTTCAGTTGTTTCAAATTCGGAACCAATAACCCGATAAGAAACATAGGTAAATTGTTAATGACATCTAAGAACCTAGGAATATTGCTGTGGGTCCAAGGTGACTAAAATCCTCGAAATGTCTGAGTTTAAGATCAAAAACTTCCCCAGAACCAGATGTTTCAGACGATCCAGTTTTCAGCCAAACTGTGGTAAGCAGTCTGTAGATCTGTCTAATGGCCCTCTCATTATAAAAATTGGATGGTGTGGTTCCATTTTTTTGGGGTGTGTGGGTCTGATTCCCTCACCTTTCCTTTATAGTGGACAGCGAAATCAACCCACTTTTGTCGCATTCAATCATCCATTTTCGGGGTCTAACTTTGAGTCAATTTATGACTTTGAAACTCACATCCAAGTACTAGATTCATACAACTTCAAAGGTGTATCATGGGAGATGTCATCCCTTGAACCAACATAGACCCTGAAAATCACCAATTTTTAGGGAAAAGTAGTCTTCCAACCCCCACATAAATGGCAGGATCATCATATTAGTTGGTGGGAGTCCCCGCCTCCCCATTCATCCACATTAATTCCACTACTAAGCTATACTATAACGGGGATCAATATGTAGCAAATAATTGTCCCGATGAAAAACTAAGTATCCCCATCAAATATGCTTCTTAATGGGTATGCGGCATGCGGGTATCTATCCCCATAAATCTTCGGAAAAAGCAATTTTAAATATCTGGCTGAATTATGATAATTCATGAACCTGAAAATAGCTGTTATCATACGGCCGTTTAGGGATGATTCCTCCGAATCCATTCACCATCATTCCAGTGACGTCACGACGTGAGGTCATGATCAAATTCATCCAGAAATATTGTTTTTTTCCCATGGAAACAAAAAACAAAACATGAAAAATACCTTTCTCCCATCCCATGATACTGGTATATACTGGTTGGTTATTAAAATCTTCCTATTGTTGGTTGTAATCAGTAGATATCAGTAGTATAATCCCCCACGAAACCAGGTTTCGCATCATCCCCGACCCGAGCTGCTCGTCTCCGAAGACCTCCGGCTGCGCCCGCTGCGCCCGCTCTTTCGTCTGCACCAGAGCCGTGGCATCGGAGGCCTTGGCGTAGAACTCCTCGGCGCCATGGGATCCCTGGGATTCATGGGTGGTTTCAACTCAGGTGCAACGCCCCAAGATCAGGGCCCCCACAAATGTGGCCTAAAGAATTACGGTAATTCCTAACCACCAGCCAGCGAAATTCAAGGGTGTAACGGTGTAACTTGTGAAAGATGATTCTCACCAGCAATATCAGACATCATTTCTAACAAAAAAACTTCATGAACCATAATCAACCATCATCAACCATCATCAACCATCAACTTCCATCCTCTCCCAACATATGGAAAACATGGCGACCATGTCAGCTCTCCTTCAGCACCTGCAGGGCCTGCGCTACGGCCTCTTGTGCCTCCTTGGCTTCTTTGATGGTCACGGCATTCTTCTCCTTCTCCTGGGCTATGGCGCATGGCTGGGGGATGGCGATGGTGCTTGCCCCGTGCCCCGGAGGGATCAGGGATGGAAAAACGGCGTTATAGATGATGATTACAGTTGATAGTTGAATATTGTAATCATCATAGTTGAATAGTTGAATATTGTTGATTTGCGCAGAATCTGATCCAGTGATCTGGTTCCGTTTAGTGTCCCATGGCGATCTGATATGATCTGGCGATCGAATTCGCCATCAAAATGCTGCTTGGATGACCTCAAAGAATCATATGTTAAAAAATCAACCATGGAAAACCTATCGAAGAAGTTACCCTCTGGTAATTTAACATAGCCATGGAAAACGGCCCATTTATAGATGGTTTACCTATTAAAAATGGTGATTTTCCATGGCTATGTTAAATAACCAGATGGTAAATCATGCTAAATCATCTAAAAAAAACATCTTTGCTGGTGAAGTCAATTTTTTTCCTGGTAAAATCATGCAATTTTTCCACATGAAAAACTTGAAAAAAAGGATGGGTATCACTCCTGTTTAAGGTGCCTAGCCATTTCTACTTGGCCCCTGCCTTCACACCTCCATTTTTCGCCGTGGCCCCAGCCTTCGTGCGCAAGTCTGCTGCCTTGGTCATGGCCGCCTCCAGCTCCGAAAGCTCCTATCGAGCAGAAAGCTCTGCAGCGTTCAAGAAATGGGGAAAGTCCCAACAAAAACATTGGGGGAGCTATGGAAAATGACAATTTTGCTATGGATAATCACCATGTTGATCCATTTTGCTATGGGGTTTTACTGTAAACCTCTGGTGACTTAACAGTTTGCTATGGAAAATATTGGAACATGATCATAAATTGATCCATTTTGCAGAGGTAAATCATCATGTTGTCGTCGAACTAAATTGGACCGTGGCTTTCATAGCTATGTCATGCTATGTTAAATAACCAGAGAATCGCCAGATTGCAAAAACTAAACTGAAATCTCAAAACCTGTGAAATGTTGCATCCAAAAATTGTTATAGGGCTATATATATATAGGGCTTCAGTGAATCAAAAAGACATTTCGAAAGAAGTATCCAAATGGATCTGGAACTTTGTTTTGAGGGTTTCTTCGCGTGCTTGCCAGAGCATTCGACATTTCATCTTTAAAAAACAGCGGGGGTTGGATACAGAAAGAACTTTGAAGACTTGAACAATCAGGAAAAATTCGGGTTGGAAGTAAATGATGATAGGATTGCTTTGAGACACCCAAAAGCGATGGGGATGGTTTACTGGTTCAACCAACAAAAAACTTATTGTGGTTCAACGGAAATGTGTTGCAAGAATAGATTGGAGGGACAATCATGAGTCAGCAGGGAAGCTTTGTTAAGGATGGCGATTCAATGATTCTGCAAGTAGTATACATGGAAACATGGCCAAACAGCAGACTTGGAAGTTCTTGACCAACTGAATGACAGGGAGGAACAAGGCCTGGTGAGACCGTGATGGAAAAGTGAGATGTGACTGTGATGGTGCTTGCTGTCACAAAATATCATCATTAATGGTTTATGCAAGCAATAGGGATTACCAGTCAGCTTCCTACTCTGGACCTCTGCACATCTAGAGAAGCAAATAGTCTTTTCCACATGTTCTTGAATTTCTTCAAGATATCGAAGTTTCTCTGAACATTTCCAGGATAAAAAGCTAAATTCCCATGGCTTAAAGTCTCATCTTTTCCCATCTCAACATGGCTTCGCGTGCTCTTCCCATCTTGGCAAAACAGCCAGCGTCCGTTGCCAGTGTCGTGGTCTCATCCCCCAACTTGGCAATCGACGCCTGGATGCGGATGGAAAACTTGGAAGCTTTGATTTGGGTCCAAGTAGCTTTGATCTTGAGATGCACTTGGATCCATTTACCCTCTGGTGAACTAACATAGCAATGGAAAATGGCTATTTATAGTGGATTTTCCCATTAAGAATGGTGATTTTCCATTGCTATGTTAGTTCACCAGAGGGTAAAAAACAAAAGTGCCCGAAAAGGTATAGAACAGATATAGAAGAGAGAAATCCGTTTGAATTTGGATGGTGATGGAATTTCATGTTGTTTTGGGGAAGCAACAAAATAGGGTGAAGTCTGTGAAGATAAAAGCTTCGAACTTAACTTACTTAACCACCTTGCCCCGCCTGGTACCAATTTGACATGTTGCCCAAATGTCATGGGACATCTATCAATACAGTTTTCCCTTCTGTTCAGGTGTACGCCTATTTGCAGTGGGACGTCTCAATCTACCAACCTCAGCTTTGTGAGAATTCAATAAACTTCCTTGTTTTCTTCGTTAAACTGCACAAGTCTGTAGGTTGAAATCACATAGAATCAGCATGTTTGCCACTGCATCCACAACGCTAAACACCAAAAGCACCCGCATTTAGTCAAAGAACTATCCCTGTTTCTGAAACTCTCCATTGTCGCGTACCATTTTCCTTCTTTTCGTGCAATTTTGGACACAACCAATTCCATTCTTCACTGCTGAATATCCCCTTTTTTTCTTTGGTTATCTCTTGTTTCACTGTTTCACCCCCATTTCTCTGGCTTAAATCATCTTAAATTCCCATGGAATTCCCATGGTTGGTTGCTTCAAATCCCCAGGCTTTCCGTTGGTGCACCTTCAACTGGTCCATCTCGGCGGTGAGAGATTCCACCCCATCGCTCTTGGCGTCCTGGGTCCTCACATACTGATGTCATCATGGGGATATAACTAATAACCAAAAAAAATTGTTAACCAAATTATGGGGATATATCAGAACAACATATATATATAGTGATTTATATCTGAATGGGGAGATATATCAGTATATGTGTATATATATATATATTATGTATATATATATTATGTATATATATATATTATGTATATATATATATATTATATATATATCATTGATTAAATGTGATGACTAGATCTGGGGATATAACTGATATCACCAACCTAGAAAGCTATAATAACTTGGTTTCTAAGTGGATGAACTAGAGTTTCTGGTCGATATAACATATATAACGGGTGACCCACCTCATAGGAACGTATGTCGCCGTTCTGGCAAAATTATGTGACCTACACCATTGCATTACCGGAAAACCCCCATTTTTGGGCAACAAAAGAGAAGGAAGTTAGGCTCTAAAAATCGGAAAGCAATATGACCATTATGCAGCTAGCCGCTAGCCCAAATTTTAGCTGTGTTTCATTTGGGGTTTAATCGCATTTCCTTCCACTCTTCATGGTGGATTTACAGCAAACCATAGATCCATTGATCCACCCACTGCCAAGCCATTCTTCCGCTTCCGAGCCAAGTCTCTGCTTCGTGGTGGAGAGTTCAGTTTCACACCAGGCCTGGTACGCTTGCGATGCTCTGCCCGCAGGGAGCCGGGAAAAAAAAAAATGACCTTTCGATATCACAAGATGATCTCTCAAATAAGTACAGTACGGTGATAGATTATAGAATATTATAGATTTATTATATCACAGGATTATTATAGGATTATAGGATTGATTATTATAGGATATTATAGGATTATAGTATTATTATAGATTGATTATAGTCTCCTGCTCTTTTGAACCAACCAGTCCTTGCCACCTATAGGGTATACCTATCACTTCTTGCTGCTGAACCTTTTGCGAGTTCAACTGACCAAAGCACCTGCTCTTCATCCCGTCACCGCCCCTCCACCAAATCTGGTAATATAACACTTTGCTATAGCAAGAGGCCCATAGAAATAGATAGAAATAGATGATTTACATTGATTTACCATGATTTTACAAAAAAAATGTAGGTTTTCCATATCGAACAGCCACTAAAATATCTAAAATCACCAGAGAAATACCAGAGAAATACAACCCCATCGATCCATCGGATCGCCTGCTTGGTGGCTTCCGCCTTGCCCTGTTCGTTGAGCTTCACCACCAGCTGCTCAATCATGGTCTTCACCTGGCGACCGACTTCAAGGGCAGTGATCTAGCAGTGATCTATCGTCCATTGAAGTGCAAGAAAACATCATTTTGTCACTGGTTGGTTGGTAATATACTATTAGTATATGGTTAATACTAATGGTTATTATATGATTAATGATGGTTCATAATAATCTGGCTGGTGGTTGAGCCCTACCCCTCTGAAAAATGATGGAGTTAAAGTCAGTTGGGATGATGAACTTCCCAATATATGGAAAAATAAAGACTGTTCCAAAGCACCAACCAGAAAATGTGTGTTTTTGCCGAAAGCTAATCAGCTAGGAATGAAAAAACGGAACCATAAAATACAACATCTGGTGACACCTGCTTCTATGATGCCTTTTCCCGTTGATATTGACAAGAAAAGTCATGAGCCAAACCATCCAAAAAGCATGATCTTTGAGGTTGTTGCTTCAGAAACTGAAAGAACCATCAGAAGTCCAACTGAACTTTCTGGATGAAAAAAAAAATTACATCAAACATACATATATATATATAATAATTATATATGAATGGAAAACAGCTGTGTTCAATTCACCATCACCATCACCTTCCCAGGCCCCCAGCCCCAGCGTTTCAGCTTCAGCGCCTTGGCCAAGGGATCGGCCGCCACGTCCAGCTGCGTGGCCTTCTGCTGAAGGAAGCGAGCCACCTGGTCCTCCGAAACCGCGAAACCGGCCACGGCGCCGTGGCGGTTCCTTTACCGTTAAAGGAAGGTCATGGGCTGAAAAGCTATGGGAAAACGATGGGAAAACTATGAAACATATGGATGGTGCTGATCTTTCTTTGGTTGTAGATAGTTGGAATCCAAGAACTTATATATATATATAATTTTATATATATATGGGGGTTGTCCAAAATACCTTTTCCCGGACAGCCCTCAATCGCTCAGCCAATCGCGTAGCAACCGCGGTACCACAGTGAGCAATCGCGGAAGGGTTTGTTCTTCGTTGATCAGATCATATACATAAAATATAAGTTATGTATTATATAATGAGGATCCATGCGTGAACGCATTCGATTTCAAATTTGGGAACAAAATAAGCTCGCGCGGTCCGGAAACGGTCCGGAAAACTCACAGTAGTACCAGCAGCAGTAGTACTAGTAGTACTAGTAGTACTAGTAGTACTAGTAGTACTAGTAGTACTAGTAGTACTAGTCGTAGTAGTAGTAGTAGTAGTAGGAGGGGTAAGAGTAGGAGTAGGAGTAGGAATAGGAGAAGGAGTTCTAGTAGCAGGGCAAGGGAAGAAAGGGAGAGGGAGGGAAAGAGAGAAAGAGAGAGAGAGAGGGAGGGAGGGGGAAACAGATGGTTGCGTTTGACCGGTTTCTGACGGGTTTCTGACTGGTTTCTGACTCGTTTCTGACCCTTCAGCGGAACTCGTGTCAATTGGATTTAAAAGCAAGAGCAGAAATTCCTAGGTGTACTAGTGGTAGTGGTGGTGCAGTAGCAGCGGGTGTGGTGGTAGTACTAAGAGTAGTAGCAAATCTAGTAGTGGGAGTAAGGATCCATGCGTGAACGCATTCGATTTCAAATTTGGAAGCAAAATAAGCTTGCGCGGTCCGGAAACGGTCCGGAAAACTCACAGTAGTACCAGCAGGACTAGCAGTAGCAGTAGCACTAGCAGTAGTGGTAGTGGAAATTGCAATAGGAGTAGGCGTAGGAGTTCTGATGGGAGGGTGAGGGAATAGGCAAGAGAGAGAGAGAGAGAGAGATTGCGTTTGGCCGGTTTCTGACGGGTTTCTGACTGGTTTCTGACTGGTTTCTGACTCGTTTCTGACCCTTCACACGAGTGCAATTGGATTTAAAAGCAAGAGCAGAAATTCCTAGGTGTACTAGTGGTAGTGGTGGTAGTGGTGGTGCAGGGTGGTGCAGTAGCAGCGGGTGTGGTGGTAGTGCTGGGGGTAGTAGCAAATCTAGTAATGAGAGTAAGGATCCATGCGTGAACGCATTCGATTTCAAATTTGGGAGCAAAATAAGCTTGTGCGGTCCGGAAACGGTCCGGAAAACTCACAGTGCACTAGCAGTAGCAGTAGCACTAGCAGTAGTGGTAGTGGAAATTGGAATAGGAGTAGGCGTAGGAGTTCTGGTAGGAGGGTGAGGGAATAGGCAAGGGAGAGAGAGAGAGAGGTTGCGTTTGGAGTAGGAGTAGGAGTAGAAGTAGGAGTAGGAATAGGGTAGGAGTAGTAGTAGTAGTAGTAGGTAGTAGTAGCAGTAGTAGTAGCAGTAGTAGTAGTAGCAGAGTAGTAGTAGTAGTAGTAGCAATGATAAGAGCTGAGGTGGATGGATGGATGGATGGATGGATGGATGGATGGATGGGATGCTAGGCAAGTGCTGCCTTTTTGGTGTTTCTGACCTGTTTCTGACCTGTTTCTGACCTGTTTTCAATTGGAGCTAGCTTGAATGTCCTTCTGACCTGAAAACATCTGCGCGGATTCCGCGCGCGCGGAATCCGCGCGGCCATGTCAATTATTGGCATGGTTCTGGTCTCGAAAGTAGTAGTAGTAGTAGTAGTAGTAGTAGTAGTAGTAGTAGTAGTAGTAGTAGTAGTAGTAGTAGTAGTAGTTAGGTAGTAGAAGTAGTAATAGTAGTAAGTAGTAGTAATAGTAGTAATAGTAGTAATAGTAATAGTAGAAGTAGCAATGATAAGAGCTGAGGTGGATGGATGGATGGATGGATGGATGGATGGATGGGATGCTAGGCAAGTGCTGCCTTTTTGGTGTTTCTGACCTGTTTCTGACCTGTTTCTGACCTGTTTTCAATTGGAGCTAGCTTGAATGTCCTTCTGACCTGAAAACATCTGCGCGGATTCCGCGCGCGCGGATTCCGCGCGCGCGGAATCCGCGCGGCCATGTCAATTATTGGCATGGTTCTGGTCTCGAAAGTAGTAGTAGTAGTAGTAGTCGTCGTCGTCGTCGTAGTAGTAGTAGTAGTAGTAGTAGAAGTAGTAGTAGTAGTAGTAGTAGTCGTCGTACTCGTACTCGTACTCGTACTAGTAGTAGTAGTAGTAGTAGTAGTCGTAGTAGTCGTAGTAGTCGTAGTAGTCGTAGTAGTCGTAGTAGTCGTAGTAGTCGTAGTAGTCGTAGTAGTAGTAGTAGTACTAGCAGTACTAGTAGTAAAAGTAGTAGTAGTAGTAGTAGTAGTAGTAGTAATAGGGTGGTAGCCGTATAGTCAATCGCCAACCAATCGCTCAGCCTATCGCGACGCAGGTTTTAGCAATCGCGCAAAGCAAAGTAAACGCATCAATTCATAAATTTGTGACCTGCTTTTACGGACGGCTCCCATATATATATCTCTCTCTCATGCTGAAATGGTCTTTTTTAGTGGAGGATCCCCAAGTCACCATGGTTGGAAACAATACTAAGTCATACTACAATGAGATGATGTTGGAGATACCCCCATTTCTGGAAAACTCCCCAAAGTATGGGAAAAGATGCGGTTAAAATGGGTATCCGCCGATCTTTTTTTTTGGTGTGTTGGGAATCCAACTGCTGTGTTTTTTGTTGGAGGATCCATCCTGCAAATATGGATGAAATATGGGGATGGGTCAAAACCCTGGTACCTAGTGAACCCCAAGTCATAGCTGGGATTTATGGATGTTCATTCCACTAAAAATGTATCTATAGGTATTGACCCATACCCATATTAGATGAAATGGCAGAGATCAGATGTTGAGAAAAGGCGCATCCATTTTGGGATGGCTTCCCGATCCATTTCTATGGGAAAATGTGGAAAAACTCTCCGGCTTTGGTGGGATGACCCTCCAGGTCTTCCAGGTCTTCCACAAAAAGCTGCACCGACTCTGAAAATCATGGACCGTGTGGTAAAACTCATTCGAACCAGCATGAACCATATCATGAACCATCATGAACCATTCCCCCTCCAATTCTGGTATAAATAGGTTTTCAGGTTTTCTTGGAATATATGGCGTTTCACTCATGAGTAGCTGCTGAAAAATAATCCATTGAAGTTTCTTCGTCCCCATTTTCGCCCAAGACCCCAAGTTGTGTCAACCAAATCTCAATTTTTCGGATAAAAAATTGGGTGCATCTGAAAAGAAGGAAAAGGCTGATTAGTTAACTATCAAATTTAGGGGTACCGTAACATACCGTAATCGTATTTTTTGGAAAAAAAATATTAAATTTTACCATCTGGTAATTTAACATAGCTATTGAAAATGACCATTTATAGTGGATTTTCCCATTGAAAATGGTGATTTTCCATAGTTATGTTAGTTTACAAGTACCAGAGGGTAAAGTCCCTTTGATATTTTCTCCTTTGGTTTGGCCACCAGTCCCCATGCCGAAAAAAAGGCCCACGGCTTGCGCGGCGTCCTGCCCACGTTGACCACGACCGGTCTCAGTATGCTCGGATCGCAAGAAGGCCAACGCCGACACGGCCTTCTGCTGCCTCGGATCGCGTCAGGTCTCAGCGCCGTTTTGCGAAACGCACTGGGCCCCACTGGGACTGGATTTCTGCGCCGGTAAATCGCTGTCATTTTTCGTCAATGAATATCAAGGATTGAGAGGATTTACATGGATTTCCAATCAATTCAATGGGGATGTAAAGAAAGAACACGTTGACTGAACCAGCAAGAAATCCACAATCCAATAGCCTACGGCAGTTGGTCAACTATGAAACCGTCCCCGACACAAATCACATCAAAATCCCATGCCAAACCGATTCAAATCCCATGCCCAAAAAATACGCAATGCCATAAACCTACGTACCATTGGGTCATGGTGAAAAAAAACATGTTATTAATTAATTACCACCTATAGATGTTCATAATGATTGTTATTAATTACCACCTATAGATTTTCATAATGATTGTTATTAATTACCACCTATAGATTTTCATAATGATTGTTATTAATTACCACCTATAGATTTTCATAAATGATGGTATGGGGATGGTTTTCCACAGCCCCATACCATCACTCCCAATGTGTCTCCTGTCGCCCAAGCGGCAGCAAACTGGGCAGGTGCTTTTTGGCGTTGCCGCTCACCGCACCGCCGCTGATGATGTCCTGGGCCTTGCTGATCGCTTCCAACTCCTGCACCGTTCCGCAGTTCTGGGGTGCGGCCCTGGGGTCCTTAAAAAGGCAGACCCATGTCCTTCCGGGATGGAAAACCAAATGAAAAAATATCGAACTCATTTGCGTCTAGATCTGAAAAATTGTTCTATCGATGTGAAAGTTGCTGAACTAACCCGGAGTTTTCAGTGGCTTGGTGGTTCAATGCCCATTTTTGTTTCTATCAATGAGGATTATCATAGGATAATATATAATCCAAAGCACCAACCAGTTCAAGTTGTTACCAAAGTGTGGTTGTTTGCTGATCCCCTGCTAAATTGGGTTGACGTTTGGATATCACTTTGTAAACCTATCCAATCGCATAAAGGCTGCAATCCATCCAGAATGGTAAATGGCTGGTTACTTAGTGGACCAGTGGTGGGCAAGTAGTATCAAGCACCAAAAGTTGAGTAGATTACACCAAATAAATGTTAATACATGTTAATACAAAGACTGAGCAAATCTGAGCAAGATGAGCAAGTGGTCATAATTAATTGGTTAGTAAGGGGAGTAACCAATTTGGATAATAACTCCCCTTTGGATAATAACCAATAGCATCAATAGCCACACTATGTTACACTGATTAGTTGTATATAGATTTAATCATCACCCGGATATGGGAGACTAACCTCTGTAAATGACCAGACTCTGATCCTCCAGTTGATCATGGGCAACTTGACGTCCCAACTTCTGGAAGTTTTTTGTAAAACAGAAAGACAGGGAGTTGAGATGTGAAGTTCGTGTAAATAGGTATAGACGTAAGAATACAATACACATATGAATTATTGTTATAGTGGCTATATTTCTGAAATTCAATGAAAAAATCTTGTGTATTAGAGTCTTAGAGCAAGGCTAATCTTACTCAGCCGGCCAAATGCTCATTTTACCGTGCCATTTCTCATCTGTGACAGAAAACATTGTTGGCCTACCAAACAGAACCTTACCTACCTAGTGTGAGCCATATCTTTGGGTACTCCAAGTTGGACCTATTGTGGCCTGTATCAAACTGGTTTTTCAGGATTCTTAAACATGATATTCCAACTGAAAATAGCTATGTGCAAGGGCCCATGTTAAAAATCAGGACTATGGTGAAAATCCACCACAAACCTAGGATTCAAATCTCTAGTTGCGTCTCATGTTACACGTATTCCTCGCAGAAATATATCCAGATTTTCCACAGATCCACCCACTCATCGATTTCAGAACGCTCCAAAACATCCGGGGAATAAAAAAGATTTCAACCCTCCCAAACATATAGAGATTCAATCTCGGATCCTTAGAAAAATATAGAAAAATTCTATAAAATCCATTGGTTCATATGTTTCCCCAATGTATTTCATTGGTTCGCCCCTGGACATCGTGGCACCTCTTTGCGCGTCTGCTGTCGTACCTTGAAAGCAGAGGCCTTCTTGTCGCAAGTGGCCTTCCTTGGCGGAGGACCATTTGACATGGGACAATCTCTCGGAGAGAATTGGCTTGAGAAAATGGGTGGAGATCTGAAAGCCCGTATCAGGTTTTTGACTTACATAGGATTTTGTAGCATGGCATACTAAATGGCAAACTGGGAGATAATTAGCCACTTCAGTTTCCGTTTCCATGGAAAAAAAACATGGAAAGTTTCAACAGTGAACACTAAAATTTGACGATCTCAAAGGTCTCCCATCCTCTCTCCCAGCTTCAAATCGGTGGAGTACTTCACATCCGACTCCTTTTCCGCCTTGGTCTCCTCCAACTCCTCAGAGCGCGCTCGCGCGTCCGCAGGCGCCCCCAGTTGACCCCTCAAAGGCTGTCTCCCCGAAAAAAAGGGGTGAAAACGAACCATAGTTCGCGACTCACCAAGGGGGTTCCCAAAAAAAAAACGGAACAAATCTCAGCAACTCCGGGTCACAGCAGTGCTGGAGGCTTTGGTTTGCATCTTCTTGGCCTTGAACTGGGTCTTCTCCTGCTCCTCCTGGCACTGGAACCATTGGAACCATTGGAAAACAGCTGGAAAACCTCTGGAGATCACAGGGGTTGAACTGAGCATTTTGCTTGGGATGCCCAAAGTTGTTTTGGAGGCGGAAGTTGGGCTACCCAAGTTTCAGAGATTCCTCTTTAGAATGTATTTCTTGCAAACGACTTGGATCTGTTCATCATTTCTTGGCACGAAAAAGTCATGCTTCACCGACCAGTGAGGATCTCTGAGAAAAACTCACAGGAAAAAACAGAGTTGCAGAGACATGGAAAAACTCACAGACCAATGAGGATACTCAAATCAACTCCGTTTCTCATGCGTCTCTTTAAAATTCTTCGAACAAACGGAGACATGAAAAAAAGAACATCTGGTTCCACAAGCCATGACCAACAGGGAAACCCGCCCATCAACTGGGGAATCCTGGTATTTTCAAGGCTCAGAGCGACAGAAGTTGTGTAGGGTTACTGCAAAAAGGCGAGGCGGACCCTACCTCATTCTCCAATGCCAAACTTTGCCTCACATTTTTATACATTAATACATATCTAATCATAAATATATATATATAACATCATATAGAACATCATGTAGAACGTCATATAACATCAAACATAACTATCCAGAATACTACAAGTAATGTAAAACCGCAGGATTGTCACTGACCCTTCACCCAGCCCCATTCCCGCCCTTGAGGCACCTTGTCAGACTGCACAGATTGCGCCTCCAAACGCTGGGCCAGGAGTTCGTAGGCGTGTTTCTTGGCCTTGCTGGCAGGATTCGGCCCGGCTGGACCGGCTGGTGAAGCCTAGGGTGTCTCCCTTAAAAACATGGCTGGTGAAACTTAAAATGGAGCTTGATCACCATAAACATGTTAGATATGTTATGGAAATCATTATTGGAAATTGTTATAAATCTATAGGTTTTGACCCCATTCTCATAAAATGATGTAAAACTAAATACAAAATTTACGATGATTGACCAGTGATGTATGTATATATATATATACATATATATATATACATATATATATATATACATATATATATATACATATATATATATATACACATCTTAATTATTAATATGTCAATTGTGCCCAGCTTTTAATGTAGGGTTTCATGTTAGTGAACCCCAATTTTTTCCACGATGAGCTCCCTACCTGCTCCTCTGACTCCAAGCTGTTGCGCTCATCCACGAACTTGTCCTGAGAACAGTTCACCATGAAATCTGAACGGGGGCCCCATTTCCTCCTAGGGTGACCATCCAATCCATCCAATCCATCCATCCATCCATCATCCATCCATCTCCATCCATCGTTGATGGTTATACCCCCAGACAATCTTTTAAAAAAAACTTGGCTGCTGCCATCTCATCCCCTCCTGCAGGCTCTCCAGCATAGAGATGACACCACCTGACTGGAACTCATAGGTCTTCGCCTTTGGTGCCTGACTCCCTCCTTCGGCAAGAAGGCTTGGCTCCTGTCACAATAAAAACGACGTTTCGGCGGCTTGGTTCACCCTGAGATTTTGGGGTACAAACAATGCCGTGGCCAAATCGTAGGATTGTACCAACCCCCAAGAATCAAACACCAACACAATCCATCCCAACAATCCCATTTCTGCAAAACAATGAGATCAGCCATAAAAAAAACAAGCTTAGACCGCAAGAATCCCTGCACACTCAGTCACAAATCTGACCATCGCATCCAAACTATCCAGTAAAGTGAGTCAATTACGTTGTATATGCACTACATACCCTTCGGCAATCAAACCCCGCAATGGGAAATTCCCTATGACTTTGCATTTAAATGGTATAATAGATGGATATGGGTTAATTACAACATGCTATATCTAGTGTATATTAATTTATACCTATATATATATATATAACTATCCTATTGACTATGTGCCTTTAATCATAGTCCTTTGCATCCCCATCCCATTCGAAAGCGGTCGGCTCACCTCCTTGGCAGTAGCGAGAAGTGCATCAATCTGCTCCGCCACCTGAAGGCTTCAGGTGGCGTGATCAGGCCATGCTTGCCTTTCAACCAGTAAAGTTTGGTGGGGCCCCAAACGATAGCTAGCTTGGTTGATCGCTTAGATTAAGTAGGTTGATCGGACTAGAACAAGGGATTTGTATAAACCAATTTGTAGTTGGGGGTCACCATCACTTAGTCTAATTCCAAGAACCAACCATCAACCAAGCATCATTTCTGGATGATATCTCGATTCTGCCAGTTGATAGTGTCTCATTCATAGTAGATCCCGTTTCTTCAAATATGGATGGTTCAATGTGGTCAGATCACCTTTTCTTGGTTAAAAAAAACACCAACCACCATTACAACAAGACATAAGCGATTCAACTGATTCAACACCGTATGACATGAACGATCATCACAATAATTGCTTCTTCCTTGGACCTTTAGATTAATGCCCATGTATAATGTGTATGTATGTGTATATAATATGTATGTGTATGTATGTATATGTATTTATATAATATATATACACAGTATGTAATACATATAGTAAATGGGTTGTCTGAACATAGGGTGCCCGAATATCCAATGGTGTCATCGTTTTCCCCGGTCTTCCCCAGTCTTGGACAAACCCAACGTGTTTAAACCTTGTACCCCTGTAGTTCACCTCAAAATAGCTGGGATTTATGGATGTGAATAACACCCTAAAAATGGTATTTTCATAGGTATTGATCCATAGCCATATATCCCAGTAAATATGTCCATATAATACACATGTCCTCAGAAGCTGATCAAAAGCACCCCAAAACATTATTCATTCGGCGATTCATCCCTATTTGTTTGATGATGAAATCCCAAATTTATCTGGTTAAACCATTAAAAAAACGTCGGTATAATAGCCATCATCCATCAGATTAATTTATCCGTCAGACCCATAAAATCCCCCTTATAATTATCATATCCGAGTATTTTTTCCCTATAATATCCCATGACGTGTCACTATTTCCCCCTTCTGAACCATAAAAAAGTTGTTAGACCCCCATTCTGAACGCTTCAATCACCAGAAAAAACCGCCTCAGTTGGCATGCGGCTGACGCGCGTGCGCGTGGCAGCCAGTTGCGCTAAGGACACCTTAGCGACACGGAGCTGTCGTGATGGAGGGAAAACTGATGGGAAACCATGGGTGGTACCCTCTGGTAATTTAACAGTTTGCTATTGAAAATCACCATTTATAATCATTTATAGTGGATTTTCCCATTGAAAATGGTGATTGTCCATAGTTTTTTGTATGTTTACCAGAGGGTATCATAGATGTCACATGATTTCAGCAGAAATTTCAATGGGATTTACCTTATGATTTAGCAGTGGTTAAAAATATGTTCCATTACACCATCTCTTCGTTCCAATAGAATTTTGTGGTCAAAAAGTGGTGGATCCAATGATCCGCAACAGAAATTTGGGTATCGATTCCGAGGCATTTAGATCATCAACAGGGATATTTTTGGGGGGTCACAAAAGGCCAAAAAAAAAATAGAGCAATCAGCAAAAAATGCAGATACGTTCTCAGCCTCATTGGCATACAAATCCAGATAATGAATCACGACGATTGAAACATATTTTCCCAATGCTAATTTGGACCATATAGCGGACTGACGAGTGCACCAAAATCATGCCTGCCGAAAAACAAACGGCCCCAGCTCGAACGAGCTCAGGAAAACTTCTCGTGATCCAAGATTTTGAAGTTTAACTTTAGTAGTTGATAAGTTTAGATGAACATTCCAACTATATAACTTTAAAAAAAAAGTCTGAGTTGAATTTGAAATTTGATAACTGATAAAATGGATTTTTCATGGGTCCCAGGTCCCATCGTTTTTTCATTCCACAACGGTCGCCTCCTTCTTCTCCTTCAATGCCTTCATGGCTCGACCAATGGCATCAATGGACTCAGTGTAGTCCTGACGCCCAATGGAAGATGCATTGGGATATCACCATTTGAAGACTCAGTGAATATAAAACCTATGTTATATGATGTTATATGATGTTATATGATGTTATATGATGTTATATGATGTTATATGATGTTATATGATGTTATATGATGTTATATGATGTTATATGATGTTATATGATGTTATATGATGTTATATGTTACACTACTATACTTTTTGAAGATCTATAAAGGTTTTATACCATCAATATCAAACCATTTCAACAATATATATATAGTATATTTTTAATTTTACCAGTTTATGAAGGGGAGCTCGCCCGCCTGATGGGTTGTCTGGAAGTCGGCTCGCTCCTGCCCAAGCAAGATGGATTCCCAAAACTTGCGCGCCGCGCTCTCAACACCCCTTCCACCATCCATACTTCCCAATTCCACTTCCCATTTCCCAACATCCTCATTGCTAACAAAAAAAACTTAAGGCATATTCCCAACCCGCCCCATCACACCATATCCCACTTAGATGGGCCATGGAGTTAGTTAACTACTGAGTAAATGGATTATAATTGGGATATTATGATATAGGGGGTAACAAATCCCCAGTTACTAACCAATTAGCTAATCCCATGGCCCATCTAAGCACCATCCTCCCCCTCTGGTGGCACCTTGCTCCTGACCTCAGTGGCCTCGCTCTTCTCCTCCTGCGCCGCCTTCGCCTCCGCTGCGTGTTGCGCGGCCTCGGCGCCCAACCGCTCCGCCTCGCTGCCTGCCTGCGCGATCTCCGCCTGGGCGGGATCCTGGGGATCCTGGGGATCTAATGGGGATCCAATGGGGACCCAAGGGGATGGGGGTGATGGGCTGGAGTTTCTTAGGGGAAATCTATGGAAATCTGGGGGTACAAGATCTTACCACAAAATCATGAAGACTTGGTGTGTTTTCATGTGGTTCATGTGGTTGACACCGTTGACACCGTTCAAGATGGAGCATGGGTGACATGGACAACTACTTACAACCAAAGGTGCGATGGTGCATGAACAGACTAAGGTGTTCGGCTTGGTGGCTCAAATGAATTTAAAAACAAAAAAAATCGGAAAAGTTTTCCTACACAAGCATTTTCAGGAACATCTGGCCCAAAACCTCAACAAAAAACATTGATGCGGATGCAAGATTTCCTGGTGCTGCTGATGTTGGGCCATCGACTTCCTCAAATTGAGCTCGATGAAAAAATATGGTTTCCGTCCATCTATGGTATATCTTTCTACCTGTTGACCTGCAAATCACCAAGTTTTGTAAGTAAACCATGGATGATATGGTGATGGTTCAAGCTCAAAATCATTTATAAATTATATTCGCTTATATATACTGTACATGTATATATGAATATAAATGATTATATATGGATATATATGGTACATCTCCCCGAATTTGCTTCCAACATCTTCGATTTTGCTTTCCAAATTCTCTGCAGCCCAGTCCGTTGCCCACCTCCAAGGTCTCGATCTTGTCCGTGGCATCGCCAATGGACCGTGCCTTGTCGGCCAAGGTCAACTCGCAGAACTGGGAGAACTCCGCGAACTGGACCTGCTCCTCCTTCATCTCCTTCGTTCCTGCGGAAAAAAAATGGGGATACCGGTATAGTCATGGATTCCTCCGGATGAAACATGGCAGGGAGATCCAACATTTATCGATGATTTATAGATAGGTGATTTTCCCTTAAGCACCTCCATTTAGAAGACGTTTGATTACCAGAGGACCAGAGGGTGCAAGATGTTGACGATCATCATCATCATCATCATCATCATCACCACCACCACCATCACCATCATAGTCACCATCACCATCACCATCACCATCATAGTCACCATCATCATCATCACCAGCATCTCCAAACGCTCATTGAGGGTGCGGGCAAACCTCAAAGTCTTGCCGTAATTGTTCCCCTGAAATTCCGCCAAGTTGCAGGGCCATGCCCTGCAGAAGTCTTCATCAAAACACCGCGGGTGTTTTGGACATGTGGATTTGTCTGAAAAATCAGGGGCAACCTCTCAATTTGATGGTTGAGAACATCATGTTCCCTATCAAAATGGCCATAAATGAAAGGTACACATTCTCAGACCAACCCAAAGTTTCATACTCTTGATTCTAGATTAGATAGATTAGATAGATTAGATAGATTAGATAGATTAGATAGATTAGATAGATTAGATAGATTAGATAGATTAGATAGATTAGATAGATTAGATAGATTAGATAGATTAGATAGATTAGATAGATTAGATAGATAAGATAAGATAAGATAAGATAAGATAGATAGATAGATAGATAGATAAGTAGATAGGTAGACAGGTAGATAGACAGATAGATAGATAAATGATGGTAAATGATGATAAATGATGATAAATGATATCCCTATTATTATATCCCCTAAAATGGTTGGTAAATATCATCACTGGTGATATCACCACTGTATTGTTTTCACCACATGAGGCCCAGCTGAAGTGACGCAGCTGTCCTTTCTCCTTCATGTCTTCCATCATGTCGATGACCTTCTGCACTGGAGTGACATTTGACCTCGCTGTGCTCATCTGTTCTCCACTCACAACGTTGAACATTTAGAGAGTTGGAAACCACAAGACTCCACCTTTTCAATATTTTTCAATATCCCATGGCTTCCAGTGTCTTCCTTGTTGTTTGGGGGGTTCATTGTGGATGGGGATGTTTCAAGTCTTATCTTCAAAAGGGCTCACATCTTACTTGGTCTATCTTGGCTCCACCAACAACGGCTGCCAAATGACGCCAACGCCAGTGGCGCGACAAAGACGAAAAGGCGGAGGTACTGCATTGCAAGAAATGGCTGGGATCGGGCTGATGTCCGTTCCGCGGTGCTGTTCGAGCCAAGCAGAGCGAGGAAAGCTGAGAAACTCCCATCAGTTCATGTGAGTCAGCTGTACCTGCAACATGTGTGAAGAACAGAAATTTGGACGACATGAAATCGCTTCCTTTAGAGTCAATCAAAAGCCTTGCAGAATCCAATCTACATGCCAACTGGTCCTAAAGATTATGTTTCATTGTTTTTTTTTCCTGCGTTTATTCACTCAAGCAACAGTGGGGCAAGTTGAGACCGGACTTTCTCTTCTGGGAACGAGATTCCAAGGGTTCAGCAATGCAACCTGTCAGGGTAAAAAGAGGCCATCATATTGTTCAAAGATGTTCCAATCGTCTTCAGCTTTGAGGTTCCAAAAAAAAATCTGTAGAAACCTGAAGTATCCTGAAGTGTCCTATAGATTCCTATAATGTGGGTGAAACATGGTGAAACAATGCCATACAATAAACCATCCCCCAAATCACCATTTTTATAGATGGTATAAACGATTCCCAAAGGGGTGGTTTGTGGAATTGTTTTACCCACATTAGCCATATTCCCGCAACCAGTGAACAGCGTCCATGGTTTTTTTGGACTGCCCATAGCGGGTGCAGTTGTGTCGAGTCAGCGAATCGGCACTGGGCCAAGCAGCCAAGCCTTGGCACGAGAAGAGTGTATGGGTGTGTCTTCAAATAGGATGCCCGAAAAGTTGCTGGTGAATCATCATTTTCTCTCCAAAATGGGGGGGGGTATCCCTGATTTTCAGACACGCACATAGTTGCGGCATGTGCCTTGCGGTTAGTTTTTAGGGGTCCAAACACCTTCTCCAATGGTATTTGGAGCACTAGGGGGTTGAAGCTTTTTGACGCTATAGGGAGAGTTCTCCATAAATCTGCATTGGTCAAAGCGCCCTTTTTTGGGTGAGGTGAAGGGCTTTCGGTGGTGAAACATGTTTTTGGTTAAAAGCTGTGGATAGCTGTGGATTTTTACTGAGATTAAAACAAATCCCAATGAAACTGAGTTTCAGCCTACTACAATCCCAAACGAAACCATCAACAAACGGAAATCAATCCATCGACCCCATTTTGTGTTGGCTCAATATATTTCTATTTTGGTGTTAAATCACCGTCTGTACTGGTAGGTCTGATGACATCCCAGTTTCTATTGGGTAAAAAAACGAATGTTCATCTGCGAAATCCACAATTCTGCGAGTTGTTTTACAAAGAAAAGAACGGGTTGAATTGGTTGAATCCTCATATTTCATCATATTTCTGGGTTGCCTCAAAGTGAAACCCCAATGTTTGCAAATTTTCACAGGCCACGTAGGATTCCTGCAGACGAGCTGATAGTCTGGATCAATCCCTACCACCAGTACCACCAGTACTACCAGTACCACAAGCATCAACCCAACATTGGTGAAATTCCACATTTCTTTGGCTTGAAATCCTCCAATTTTGGGTGAAATCTTGAGACCTCAGTAGGGCATCATATCCCCGGTCGACTCGCTCCGCGAATCCAGCGAATCCACATCATCCATCCCAGTTTCAATCCCAGTTTCCCATTAAAAAGCGACAGTAAATCATGTTATTTAACCATCATTCTCAGTTTCAATCCCATTTTCAATCCCAGTTCAAGCCTCAATTTTGGTTATGATTCGAATTCCCCACTCTTCATTGATGAACCTTCCCAGTTTCCATTGGTTCAAAAACAAATTTCATCCAATTTTCATGTGAAAAATCCTCCAGCATCTTCCAAGACCTCGACCTTTGCGTAGCACCGTAGCAACTACACGGTCTCCAACATCTTCAGCGCGGTCTCGAGATCCTTCAGCTCCTCCTCTCGTTGCGCCTTCCTCTCGGCGTAGGAGGCACCGGTGTCCAAGCAGTCCTTGGGGGAATCGACGATGGTCATGGAGAAACGCAAATGATCGGAAATGTCAAGAAAAGAATGCATGAATATATAACAATAGATAAAAATTATACTATATAATATATATATATACGTATGTTACAGGTACAAATATGTGTATATATAATCATATGTATAGAATTATACAGTGGTACAGATATCGTATAGATCTGCAAATAGATACAAAAGATTGACATCGCCCACTAAAATGATAGTGTCACCCCGAAGAAAACCTTGGAAAAACCTGATTCAAAGTTGTTTATTTGGAGGCTTCCCTGAAGCCATCTAGTAATCTAGAATCATCAAATCAGACAATTCTAAGAATCTAAGAATAGAACCTTCAAAAATTGTTAGAATTGTCTGTTGGAATCTTCCATCACATCCATTCTCTAAGACAATTCCAACAGACCCCTGCAGCCTAACCCCAGGCAAGGCGTTTATGAAAGGATTCCTCTGATGGGAGCTGTCCGATGGACTACCTGAGTATGCTCTTGGTATGTTCAAATCACCTTAGATCATTCATATATATATTATCTGGATAGAATCATATCCCATGTTGATCACCTTAGATTGATATGCCAGGCACTGGCTTCAGCTTCTCAAGGTAGGCATTGGCCGCATCCAGTTCTTTCTGCGTGCCCTGAAGATCTGTCTCTGTGGCCATCAACTCCTTGAGCCATGGAGGATCAATGAGATACCCATTGAAACTCCGAAATTCTTGGGGATTGTTGAAACCTGCAGGATGGGGCCCCCAAGATAGCTAAGTTGGTTTATAAGTGGCTGAATTCAATGGTTTATGGTAGATATAACTATAGTTAATGGTGATTATAATGGTTTATAAACCAATTTATAACTGGGGGGCCCCATCCTGTGAAGATTACTCCAATTCCTATCAATTTCTTTTGGCCCCAGAAAGTATCAAAAAGTGCCAAAAACAAAGAAAGAAGTGAAGAAAGATGAAGAAAGACTCGGTCGTCACAGCTCCCTTTCTCCACTGAAAGTCTTCGTTGAAGAGTTCCCAAGTTCAGAAAATCTGCAACCACTGGTAAAATCCCTTAGGTTCCTGAAAATCCCCATCCATCAAAATCATCAAATATTTGATGCTAGCAACCATTGTTTCCCATCCAATCCCGCTGCTTGGGAGGCTCCTGGCTCTTGCTCAGCTTCTTGCTCTCCTTATGCTCGGCAGTCTTGCTCTTGGTGGCCTTGTCCACCTAAACTTCCGGGCCAGGAGTGGGACCCAAACGCAACTGGCCGAGAAAGTCAAACAAGAGACGATCAAAATCATTGTGACATGATTGTTCTTTGGGTATTCGGCTTTGATCTTCCACAAAATGGATGTAATATTAGTGTAATATGATGTAATATGATGTAATCCAGCCTGAAACGCTGACCCAGCCCAGCACCATGGTGTTTTATATTGAAATGTCCTCTGTCAAGATCACTTTTTGGGGTATCCGTAAGCACAATTTCATACAATTTCATCATCAGTTAAGGTGATTCTCACATAATTCAAACTCCCCCCTGTTAAAAATCGGAAAAGACATAGATGTGACACCCACCCCCTACAACTTGGTTCAGAATTCATATATTCAATTGTCACCAAAATCTCTAAGTTTTCTCAACCTCAGCATCAGGCCTTCAGCAACAGCTTCAACACACGAAGAATCTGCTTCCCTATTTACTCAGCTATAAATTTCTGATCAAAACCCAACGAAAAATCTTCGACATCTTCCACTCAACAAAACAGCTCTTCCAATCTCGAGGCTGGGAGACCAAGGACAGCAGGTCCCCTTGGCATCCCCTTGGCATCCCCTTGGCATCCCCTTGGCATCCCCTTGGCATCCCCTTGGCATCCCCTTGGCATCCCCTTGGCATCCCCTTGGCATCCCCTTGGCATCAGCTTGGCATCCCCTTGGCATCCCCTTGGCACCTTGGAATCCTCCATGAACTCCTCGTACTCGGCCTTGGCCGCTTCCTCCGCAGCCTGCGTCTCCGCCTGCAGCCGCGCGAAGTCGCTAGCGATGACCTGGTTGGCGAAACCCTGGCAGTTTGAAGGGAAAGTCTCCCGGAAACCATGGGGGTTTCAACGTGGCGCTGTCTTCATTTCTGGGCACTTTTCAATGGTTGCTTTTATAAAGATCAATGCGCATGGTTTTTGCAGTCTTGGTTGTTTCAAACAATTGTCAATGCATTGATGGTTTCAACGAAGCTACCCTCTGGTAATTTAACGTAGCGAACTGGAAAGATCCACCATGTTATAGCTGGGTAAACCCACTATAAATGGCCATTTTCAATAGCTATGTTAGTTTACCTTCAACTTCAAGTGGCTTCAACTTCCTGGGAAATCTCCGTTGAGATGTCCCAACAAGACTAGGTGTCTGGCTGGTGTCGCATCATCCCATGGGTCTCATTGCTGAAGCTTTTGGACATATCACCGCCATTGCTGGGGAAATCAAAAACAAGACATTCTAGTTGGTGCTGGTTAATATGTCATGTATAATATATGGTTATTGTATGGTTAATAATGGTTAATAATCCACTGGTTGATGGTTTTAACATGTTTTAACCATCTTGAAAAATATGAACGTCAATGGGAAGGATGACATCCCATATATTATGGGAAATAAAAAATGTTCCAAACCACCAACCAGCATTTAATCAACTCAACTACAGTCCAACTACACTCCCTTGACATGTGGATTTGTCTGATTCTAAGAAAGGGCACCCAAAAAATCTGCGGTTTGCCATCCTTTTCCCCTTGGAGTCGTGATTTTGGGGTATACCGGTATACCCCATTCTCAGCCACGTGACATTCCCAATGTTTCATATTGCTGCTTTTATCTCCAATAATATCCCACTGTATCCCCAAGAGAGTTGGTGAATATCACCCATTTTTCCACATGTTCCACTTCGCATATGGCCGCTTCGGGGGGGCTTAGGGATCTACAGTTGGGCACCTCCATCATGCCAAGAACACCGCCGCTCTCTCCGCCCATTCCGGTGTACCTTGGTGTATCTGGAAATGGGGTATATACCAAGATATAGCCATTTTCATAATGGGAAGAAAAAATGGGAAAACATGGGAAAACGATGATTAACCATTGGGTTTTAATATGGCTTTTCCCAGTTTCCCAACAGTTTAAAAAAGGTGATTAACATTGATTAACCCAGTTAACCATGGGGTTTATATGGGTTGTTTCTGAAGATATGGCTGTTCCCCAACCAAAAATCAGAACTGGCGCCGGCGCAGGACTTCGAGGCACGGTTCCGAGAAGGTCTCGGGCACGGCTTCCGTGGTCTTCGTCTGCAAGAAGGAGGTGGCTGCACCTGCCTGGCGTGAGAGAAGGGCTTCAATGATATTCCTAGAAATGGAGATACTCAATGATATTCATGATATATATATATATATATGATATTCCAATGATATTCCTAGAAATGGAGATACCCTTTGGTAAACATACAAAAAACTATAGAAAGATCCACCATTTTTAATGGGAAAATCCACGCACTAAATGACTATGTTAGTTTACCAGAGGGTATTCAATGATATTCATGATATTCAATCAAAGCCGCGGGATGGAGATTCAATCAAAGCTCCGAAAATTCTTCAGAATTGGACAATTCTCTGAAAAATCATCCAAAAAGTAGGTCAACATCCTTCCAACATCCTCCCAACATCCCAAAAAAAGGGTGAGGAAAAATGCTCAATGGAGCCAGGCACCTTGGCGTAGAACTCTTTCAGGACCTGAAGGGCCTGAGCAACAGCCTCCTGCGCCTCCTGGAAACGAAGTCTCGGTGACTTGAAGCCTTGATTTTTTGGGGATTTTCATAGGGAACTACCTATGAACTACGAGGATCTTAATGGGATAAATGGGATTTAATGGGATATGGCCTGCTATGGCTTGTAATCAGCGGATTAATAGTGAGGATGTTGAGGCATTCCACCCTGCGCGTACTGGGAGTTTCACAGAAATTCAAATGAGGTTTTGATGGGATATCACTATGAACCACTGGGACCTTGCTCCAAAGCCTGACCCGAAATCCAACATCAGGACTGTTCCACCTCCAAGACATGGGGACGTCAAAACTTGGGCATGAAGCAGCACCAATTCATACGTTCCCGGATCGTCCACCTTGGCATCCCTCACGGTGTCAGCGTTCTTTTGCTTCTCCTCAGAGCAGTGAAGAAGCAGAATGCTGTGGCTAGAAAATTTGGCAGGGCACTCCAAGATTAATTGTTTGTAGTTTTTTATCATCCAATTTCAGTGGCCAATAGTTTTGAGGTTTGAGTTTCGAACTTGGATTCTCACACAAAATCCCATGTGTTGTTGACGAAATCCACACTTTCATCGCTGAAATGGTGATCTTTTCAGAGTTTCGGAAACCAAACTAGAAAACCTCACCAAACCTCATCAAAATCATCAAATCACACGTTTCTGGCTGAAATCACCCTGAAACTCTCCCATCTTTGCTGCTAAACTCCTGGTCTTCCCCGGCCTTTTGGCGGATTTCGGAGGCGTTGGCCATGGCAGTGGTCAACTGGGTCAGCTCCTCGTTCAGGGTCACGGCCTGCAGGGGATAGCGACGTGAGGTCATGGATTCATCCAGATCTATCCCAGTTTCTCATGATATCCACATTGGAAAATGATCCCGGAAAGAGACCCCCAAACAGTGTGGCGGGGACTGAGAGGATAATGTATTATAATGTTAATGTTAATGTTGTTGTTGTTGTTGTTGTTGTTGTTGTTGTTGTTGTTGTTGGTATTGTTGGTATTGTTGGTATTGTTGGTATTGTTGGTATTGTTGGTATTGTTGTTATTGTTGTTATTGTTGTTGTTGTTGTTGTTGTTGGTTGTTGTTGTTGTTGTTGTTGTTGTTGTTATTGTTGTTATTGTTGTTATTGTTGTTATTGTTGTTATTGTTGTTATTGTTGTTATTGTTGTTATTGCTGTTATTGCTGTTATTGTTGTTATTGTTGTTATTGTTGTTATTGTTGTTATTGTTGTTATTGTTCCTGTTGCTGTTGCTGTTGCTGTTGCTGTTGTTGTTGTTGGTGGTGGTGGTGGTGGTGGTGGTGTTGGTGTTGGTGTTGGTGTTGAGGATGATGAGGATGATGAGGATGATGATGAGGATGAGGATGAGGATGAGGATGATGATGATGATGATGACGACGATGTTGATGTTGATGTTGCGGACGATGATGTTGAGGATGATGATGTCGAGGATGATGAGGTGCAGGAGGATGATGTGGAGGATGATGATGCTGAGGAGGATGAGGATGAGGGTGAGGATGTTGAGGAGGATGAGGATGAGGATGTTAATGCGGAAGATGAAGTGGAGGAGGACAAGGTGCAGGATGATGATGTTGAGGAGGAGGAAGATGATGATGTGGGGCATGATGATGTTGAGGAGGAGGACCGATCCCAAGACCTAGGACCACACTTTGTGCGAGCTTGCGCAGTCAAAATGCATGTCAAGTCAACATATCACAAGGGCCACTTTATACAGAAATTTACAGGAAAAAGGCGCGAGACCAGAGTGAGCACCCTTATCAAGCACCGGCCTTTACTCCTACCCTGAGAACCCCTCAGTGTGGATACACTGTTTGGGGAAGTCTAGGAAAAAGTTGGAAACCTGGAAATTATGGAGGAAACATCACCTTTCTTGGGGGGTCCTAAAAAAACATCTTTTTTCATGGTTAAGTCAATGTTAAGTCGCCAAATTTCGATGGTTCAATCCCCATTTCACCCCCTAAAAACCCAGCGTCCCGTGTCCGGCGCACCTCCTCACCCAGCTTGGCGATGGAAGAGCTCAACTCCTCGATCTCCGATTGCAGGGAGTCCACCTCAAAGAGCTCGGTGGCTGTCTTTTTTCGATGAATTGGTTGAAGGGAAATTGTATAGGAAAGCCCAATATTTAATGGGAAAATGATGATGATGATGATGATGATGATGATGATGATGGCTCTGACGACTGAGATGATGATTATGAGTAATTATCACTATGGTGATGATATGGTATGGAATGGCGATTTACCATAATGATTATATTAGGAATTTTGGCATTATGAGTAGATTATCGTGAAAGTAAGCTAACACTTTTACCTGAATGATGATACGTTGGAAGAACCAAATTAAATATATATAATGAGTCTACCTCATTATTCTTGTAGCAGCTCAATTTTGGGATGGAAAATGATTAGGATGATAATGATGAGACGAACTTGAAAGTCAAACTCACTTAAAATAGTAAGTCTTAGTACGTTCAATCAATAATGCTAATCATCATCATCATGCAAAATGATCGTCCATGGTCTTTTTTGGAAGATGTTGAAAATGATAAAAGCAAAATTGAAACGTGATGATGATGATTATTATTATATAGATGATAAATCTGATGACATTGCTATTATTCTGATTATGATGACTGATGATTGTGACTTATTGTGATTACTATTACTAGTCTCACTATCACTATCATTACTACATTATTACTAGTCCTATTTCATAACTTACAATCCATGATTTACGATGATTACGATGGCTATGCTTTATTGTGATACTTCTTGTTGTTGTTGCTGTTGAATTCCAAATCATGATTTATGGCGACGACTTCAAAATACTTCAAACACGCGCCACGAACGCCACGAACGCCGAGCAACCTGGTCAGTCTTCTCTTCCCTCATGGCTTTGTTACTCGCCAACTCTGCTTGGCACCAGCCGTGCTTGGTGGCCTCCTCATTCGCCTGGAGTAGGGTCGCAGGGAAACCCGGGAAACCCATGGCTTTTGAACATGTTCGGAAGATGCACTGAAAAGTGGGAGTTGCCCTTTCGGAATAAAACGTGGCTGATTGTGAATGGAGGTTTTGATATGTTTTAATCGGAAAATCATCTATCATCTGGTGAATTTTCAAGTGCCACGTTTGATTACTGAAGGGTGCCAGCCTTTTTCCGAATTTTAGCAGGAAAATACATGAAACACTTGAATTTTCTAATGGTCAATGGGTCGATTGAAGAGAAATCTTACAGGAAACCATGGCTTTTCCCAATAACTATGGAGAGGTGCGTAAAAATGTACCTTCATCATTCATCCATCTTCATCCATTTCTGGGCAAAAATAGCTTATCAGTTTGTTCATCCAGCCTTTGAACCACCAACTTGGACATAGCCATCTGTGTTGGATTTCCCATGACATGATTTCTGGTCAGTTGCCAACAACCTCAACCCCTCATAGAATTCATCATGACTTACTAAACCCTCTTTCTGGAGAGTTCTTTCGTGGTTTCAGCCACCCCAAATGGGGATGGGTCAAAACCTTGTACCCCTGGTGAACCCCAAGTCATAGCTGGGATTTATGGATGTTCATCCCACTAATAATGGTATCTATAGGTATTGATCCATACCCAAATCATTGGACCAATTGAGTGCAGCCCTGGTATCTTCCCAGGATCTCCTCCTTACGGACGCTTCGGAAAGCCAAGAAAAATCAACCATCGACTCATCGACAGATGTTCCATTGGTCAATGGTCCGACAATGGGGATTCCCTGCAGAAAAACAATGAAGATCAATGAATGTTTCGCAAATTCCTGGAGACAGTAAATGAATATAAATGAATATGATTACAATATATCGGATTATCCTGGTTGGTGGTTTCAACCATCTTGAAAAATATGAGTTCGTCAATGGGAAGGATGACATCCCATGCATCGTATGGAAAATAAAATTCATGTTTGAAACCACCAACCAGTATCACAATATGTTTACCCTCTGGTAATTTAACATAGCTATGGAAAGATCCACCATTTTCTAGCTGGGTAAATCCACTATTTCGACTGGGCCATTTTCAATAGCTATGTTAGTTTACCAGAGGGTACCTGAAATCAATATTAACATAGCTAAGGAAAATCACCATTTTTCATGGGTAAATCCACTATAAATGGCCATGTTCAATAGATCAACCCCGTTGACGCTTCCGTATCACAATATATTTACCTGAAGTCAATATGATCCCCTGGACAAGAAAAAGAAGTCGTCCCATCGAACCTGGTCCTGCATCTTCACAATCAGCTGTTCGATCATCGTCTTCACCTCGACACAGCGTCCCGTTCGTCCCGTTGTATTGATGAAATTACTGTTTTTTAATGTTGGAGAGCTCAGTCATAGCCTCAATTTTACCTGGATAAAATCTATGTTGTCTTCTAAAATCCACTATTTTCATGGTGTGATTCCTTGTTTTGTTGCTTCAATCATGGTGAATTTCTCAGTTTTCTTGGTTTTGTCTCCATCTTGGATGTCCCCAATTTATGCCAGTTGATACAGGATGTTCAGCAGGCACGGGGCTTTGAGCCCTTCCAAGTGGCACCAAACCTAAACCCGGTGCATTTGATGTGGAAACAGCAGCTGGATGTTCATCCCCCTTTTCCCACAGAAAATCACAGGTTTTGGCCCATTCTCACATCATCCATCCAGAAAAATGGGGAAATGTATCCCGAAGCTCCAGGTTCTCATCTAAAGTTGCTATATGATATTTTGACCGGTAAAAGTGCAATCTTGGGTCTGAAAAGGGATAACATAATATACCCCCAAAAGGCCATTTACATGGGAAGAACTATGATAAACTACTGGACTTTGTCATGTTCCCTTAATTTGCAGGTAATCCGTCAATCCAGTCGTTGACAAACAATGATAAACTACTGGATTTCAGGTACCAACACCTATTTTCTCACGTGTTCTTAGTAATTAACGACCCATAAGAACTATGAACAATCATCCCATTCCCCCCATTCCCCCCATTCCCCCCATTCCCTACTAAGCACCATGGTCCATCTTTCGTAGCCCGCAAAAAAAATAATCTTTTGCTGGTTATAGTTCATGAGTTTGCCATCGCCAAGAAATGTGACCGGATGAAACTATCACAAACTATCCATCCCGCCGGTCAGAGATGATTAACATTAATTAACCATAAACAAAACCATGAACCATAAACCCCAACAATTCCACAAAAACAGCAAAATAAGGGCCCAATGGCCCATCACAGGGGCCAATGCTATAACCTGTAGAAACACTAAGCTTCGGGATGTTGCTGCTTATGGTTCTGATGAAACAACCCATCCCGCCTTAGCAATGGGATCCGCCGCAGCTCGCTCCGCCGTGGCCGACAACACGCGGCTCTTCAAAGATTCCGCGCGCTGCTGGAGGAAGCGGGTGACCTACGGTGTTTTGGGCACCATGCCATGGTGATTTCAATTGGATTCTTTTATGGGGGTATAACTGATATAACCATCAAACATGGGGATATAACTGATATAACCATCAAAAATTCGGGGAAATTTGAAAAACCCAGATAGATGATAGCAAAGTTGACTTATAACTTGATTGGCTAGGCTTTATGGGGATTGTAAGTAAGTTATGGGGTGTATAAACCAGCTTAGAACTGGGGGGCTTAACCTTGTATGGTGTCTTCAAAAAGACACATGAGCCATGGTCAAAAAATGGGATGAATGGGGATAATATATATATATATGTATATATATATTATATAATTATATATATATACATATGTCTATAGGGTACGAGTATATATATATATATGACAACGCATGTGTTTTTTGGGTACCTCCAAGTTCCCATTGAATAATTAATAGGGAAACTGATGATAAGCCACTGGATTTTTTTGGGTCGCCTATTTTCAAAGAAACCCATTACTTTTGGAACATGTAAGACGTGTACACTCCAAGATACGGAAACTATTTAAAATATGAAAAAAAATGTTATTCTTACCAGCGAGAAAAGAGAAGCTTTGAAACTGGGGGTTGATACCCAGGTGATTTTGGTACAAAAAGGTGGCAAACCTGAATCCACCGCCAAAAAAACTGAAGAAACCTATGCAAAAGAAATGGAGTTTTCGAAAAAAAAACTGACACCTATATTTTTCTCATGTTTTTGCTTGGTTGATTCCAAGTCACTGGCATCCCCCTGCCCTCGAAGATTCCCCGTTCAGTTGGACCCCAACCTGCTCCAGTTGCTCCGGGCGCGCAGAGAAGGACCGGAGGAAGGCCAGGGATGTGGCCGTCTGCACCAGGCCGGGCAGGTGCTTCTCCGCACTGCCAGCCACGGCGCCGCTGCTGATGATGTCCTGGGCCTTGGTGAGGGCCTCAAGCTCCTGGTTGGGATGAGAAATGGGCTGATTTGGGGGGATGTTTCAGGGATATTTTGGGGATTTTTGGGGATATGGTTGATGAGTGGTGTGTTGATTTTTTGGGGATATGGTTGATGAGTGGTGTGTTGTTCATGGTCAATCCTTTGATGTGGGAATGGTCAAGAAAGGTGTGTACAGGGGATGTAGGAGGGATCGAGATTATAAAGATGGAGATGAGCACGGAGAAACGGAGAAGGATTCACCCAAGTCTTGACCCATCCTCATCCTAAAAAAACAGGTTCATTCTTCCCCATCTTTCATTGTTTCATCCCGTTTCGTCCTCCCATGTCATCAGAAAGCACCCCATCCCCGCCCTTGTCTCTGCTGCCATCCTCTTTCCGCAACTTCTGGCGCTCATCGAAGGCGGCAGCCTTCTTACTACAGGTGGCCTTGAGATCCTTGGCATATTTCTCATCCGAGGCCTTTTCAGTCTTCGTCTCGTCCAAATCCCCTGGGGGTCGAGGCCAGATTCGGGGGGTTGGGATCCGAACATCTTGGGAACAGAAATGCTACACATTGAAAGCCCAAATCAAACCATAGTGAATGAAACGCTCATAAACTGGCTTGCACAATATTAGACCCAAGAAAGTGAGTATTACTAGCAGGGGCCATTTCGGCTCAAACCCATGCTTAACCCACATACTAACCAGATTAACCACCATATTGACATATGGTGGTTTCCTAAAATAGAGATACCCCCAGTTATCATCCATTTTCGGTTCGGATTTTCCATGAAATAAACCATCCAGCATTCTTGGGGCAGTACCCCCATTTTAGGAAACCTCCAGCACTGACCCCGCCTTCTGCCGAGGCCTTAGCCTGAAGCTTCTTGGCCTTGAACTGGACTTTGGCATCCTGAGGCAGAATCCAATCAGATTGGTATCTCAAATATTTTCAAATCATATCAATTCATCTACAGTAACCCCCAAAACGATAGAAATTTCATGTACTTTCCACTATTTTAAAATGTTGCGCTAGGATCCTTTCGGGCTTTTCTTGGTGCTCCCTTTTCTTGGAGACTTCGATCTGAGCTCGGGCTGAACATTTGACCCATCACCATCTTCCAATGCCCCCAGGTTCAATGGTACCAGGATCTTCTGATCTTGAGCCATCCCCAAAAAATCCAATCGTCCGGAATCTCCATACGCAACTTTGTCCCAAATTTGATGAATCATCATTCCCCTACGACCAAAGTTGCGGTGTGTTGCTGGGAACTCTCGTTTTCAAACCACAAAAAAATCCTAGGGTTTTGTGAAAAAAACGTATCCCCATTGATATACTAAAACTATGTCCCCCATCATTGTTGGTTTATCCCATCCCTTGACTGCTGATCCCGTTAGATCCATATTTAAATCCCATTAAAATCCAAGTAGTTTACAGTTAGTTATCATGAAAAGGCCATTAAAATCCAGAAAAAGTCACCATCAAATCCATATTAGGATCTCCATTAAAAACGCGTGATTCTTTGGTTAAATCCCAGTATAGACATATTAGATTGATTTCCTATTCAAATCCCAGTAGTTCATAGCAGGATCCCAATAAAAAAAACCCATGAACATCCCTTTAAACCCCCCCATCAGAAATCCCCTTATGAAAATCTCCATAAAGTCCCGTTAAGAAATCCCAATAAAATCCCCTGAAGATTCCCCCTAAAAACCTTAGAATTTTCCTTGCCCCGCCCCAACTTCTCCTGATCCTTCTTGGACTGCGCCAGCTGCGCATCCAAGCTTTGCACCAACATCTCCTTGGGGAAGATGTGAAAGTGGAAGCAGCAACACAACGCAGGGGGGTTCAACTAACGAAAATGATGTTTTGTTTGTTGTATGTGGATTTCGCCCCACAATTCTTGGATGTACCAACAAAGTCTTGGATTCAAAATCAACAAAAATTAGGATTTAGTCAACAAAATGCTGAATTCACCAACACAAACTGGTATTTGTTCTTGGTTACATCCCCATTGTAATATGCCTATTATATCCCCGTTGCGGCATTACATATGTCATACAATATAATCATGATGTATATATATATATATTATTATTATTTTTTTTTATTATTATTACTATTATTATTATTATACATGTGTATATATATATATTATATACTATCATTCTATATCCCCAATTCTTGATGGTGAAGCTGGCTGCCCCAAACTCGTCACCAAGCTTCATAGCTGTGCCTCTTCTTGGCCTCTTCCTTTTCCAAGCTCACGCGCTCGTCCACAAACTTGTCCTGCAAGCCCTCGAGCATGCTGATCACCTCAAGCTGCCCCGGAGGGGCCGGCGATGGCCGGCGGGGCCTCCCTGGAAGCAGCCAAATGTGGACATGAAATTTGGCCATTTGCCAAGAATACTGAGGATATCATGGCATATGACAAATACAAGACATATATTTTATCTTATTTACTATTAATATGCAAATTTTGGGTGGGTCTGAACATGTCGATACCACTCCAAATGTCCCAAAAAATGATGAAATGATGGGGGCACATGAAGATTCATCAGTGGAAGCGGGGTATGCGCTATACTCCATTTTACCTTGGGGCTTGGGAAAAGGTCCCTTGAAGTTTGATGACTGAAACCACTTCAGAACCCCACAGAAAAAGGTCATTCTTCACTTGAAACAAGCCCAAAAAAGACCAAGTCTCCAGAGTCTCCAGTTGTGGATGATTTTCCCTGTCATGTTTTCATATGTTTTTCCATGTCCCAACCCGTTTTCCCAGGTGAAAAATGCTGAAGTCACGAAACATTCGGTGGACTCCCTGAACTCCCTGGTCCCAGCCAAGCCACACCGCCGGATTGGAACTCGTAGGTCTTGGCTTCAGGGGCCGCCTGGGCGAGTTGGTCATGGCCGGTCATGGCCATGGCAGGCGAAAACGCTGGTTTTAAGGTCGGGAAAACCCTCCAAATCCCCTGGGATTTGATGATATTTTGAAGCTATCCCACGGGATTTATATGATTTTATATGTTTCCCATGAAATGATAAAATTGGGGGGCATCCCTCCCATTTTCAGACAAAGCCATATATTGAGATGATTGAACTATATAGAGGGTTGGTTTGGTATATGCGGGAGACAATCTATAGTCAGATTACCTTTGACATTTCATAGATGCAAATGTTCCTTGAAATTGTTCCTTTCAAGTGTTTGGAACGTCTTGCATGGATTTTGAAATGTTGTTAGAGACGGTCACCACTTTTGCAGGCGACAGTCTTGCGAATCAGAAATGTATTGTTACTCGCTCCTACATCATGATTTCCATCGCTTACTTATTTCTAGTTTGGCAAATCCGCATCTTGATTGTGTTCCTCCTCCTCCTCATTGCGTAAATCCCTGTTTGTTGTCATTAAACCACAAGTGTTCATCATGATATCGGACTTCATGTGGCTGGAATCCCCTTTTGGCAACGATCAAAACTCCTCATTGCAATAACCCGCATAAAAAATCTCGAAAAGTCTAAAATCCTGCAATTCAACTCACTCTTGCCCTGTTTCACATTTACAGCGCGGTTTACCATTGATTTTCCCAGCCCTTTTCGCAGGCGCCGTGCCTCAATCAAACTGCTGCCCTTGATATAGGCGTCCAAGCTGTCAGCGGCAGAGATGGGCAAAGTCTTCAGGTCACGCACGGCCTGCAACTCCAAGAAACTGCTGGACCTCAGACGAGAGCTGAGTGGCAAAACTTTGGGCTGGTGCTACTGTACTACTGTTGTCAATTCATCATGAATCTATCTATGATTCATGGAATATGATGAATCTATGTATATATATATATTATAGGTTTTTTTTCTTATATATATAATATTTTCTATCTATCTATATATATATATATATACATTCTTTTTCTTACGTATACTGTATACTGCAATTATATCCAGCTGTCTTATGTGAAAGATCTGCAGGATCTCAGTGGAGCTGGTTCAGCCAGAAATATTCATCTGGTTGAGCTGGGGACCCATCAGCAGAAAATGTATGTTTTTCGTAGGTCAAAAAAAAAACATGGTGTTCGGATTCAAGAACCACATGTTTCTCCATTTCTCGAGATCAACAAGAGATATAGATATATATATATACACACGACATATATTATCATCTATATATATATATATACACTTTGGATGTCTTTTTGGGACTTATTAATAAAACCCAAATTCTTTCAACCAAAAGCAAACAAAAACGACCTGCTGGACCAGATGTCATCCATTTCTGAGAGGATCTAAAAGTATCTCAAGAAACCAAGCTGGAAGATGGTAACTGGTGGAAAAACGGGATGGCTCAACGTCCCCGTCTTAGATATCACCCAGCTACTGGGGATATCCACTTGACATGCTGCTGTGGTTGCAGTAGTAAGGTGCCACTGGGGATTTAGCTCACCACCAACTTAAATGGCTGAATCACAGCTGCTCTGGAAAATTGACTATATGTATAAATCCCATGTGTATATATATATATGTATATATATATATATATGTATATATATAATCATATGTATATTCATATATATAATCATATGTATATTCATATATATATATACACAAACATGTTGTTGCTCATCATGAAATATGACATGACGTCGATATGCGCATCTAAAATGTGTTCCAAAAACCATCTTTCAAGTATAAAATGGCCATGTTTTATTCGTCCCAAGGAACTTCTTCTCGGCCTTCAAGACCTTCAAGGCACGCCCCACCGCATCAATGGACTCGGTGTAGTCCTGAAAAAATCTGACAAACCCGGCTGAATATCTCACTTCTATAGGGTTATAGTATGTTAGAATCACCAAAAAGTCTGGCTGAATTATAAACATGTTGAAAAAATGTGGTTGAATTGTAGATAATCATGAATCTCATGGTACTGCAAGGTATTGAATGACTACAATCCACTCACCTGAACTAGCGGGATGCTTCCCCTGACTAACCACCATGAAACTATCCATTTCCTCATGGTGAAATCCCCCATTGAGATAATCACCCCAGTCCTAACCGTCAGACATATATACTTGACCTACTTGACCTTTTCGTTGGTGAAACCCCTATGTTTCGAGGATTTTGCACCCATTAGCCTGATCCCGTCCATTTCTGATGGAACAAAACCAACCTTTATGAATGATTATGAATGGTTAGGTTAATATGTCGCCGTTCATGAGAGCATCGCAGTACCCTTCACCAGTTGGATTAGTTCTATCTTTGATGTTTCCATAGTTTTTTCTATGTTTACCATGCCGGGTATCCCAAAGAGATCCCATTGGGAGATCCCTCAGATCCGGATCCTTCAGGGTCGCCACAAAGTCGCTCCGCGTCGTCTCCCGGAGCTCCGTGGCGTTCTGCTTCTCCTTGCTGGCCGCCTCGATGTCCGCCGCGTGGCCGCCGATCTCCTCCGCCAGGCCTCGGAGGCGATCATGGGGAGATCATGGGAAGATCATGAGATACCCGGCCTGGTCAACATAGAAAAAACCTAGTAAAAATCATGAGATACCTTTTTCAACATAGAAAATCACCATAAAAAATAGCTGGGTAAAGAAAAACTATTTCGACTGGGCCATGGCTTCAAGTTCGCAAACTGTTAGTCATTACCAGAGGCTAATTCCCGTGTTATGACTAGATACCACTATTTATATCGGAATATCACGAGAATATCCATAGGGTCAAAAGATGAATATGACATTCGAATATCACTATAGATATGGGGAATATCACTAGAATATCATAGTTATCATTCCAGGATCTCATGAGATTTTTATAGATTTTTTGTTGATGTGATGATCCAAGAAAGTGCCTAGTTGGGATGGGTGATGTTCTTCTGTTCTTCCTTGGATCTTGTGATTTCTGTAACCTCGAAAGAAAGGGCATTTCAATGGACAAAAGGTTAGGATACCCTCTGGTAATTTAACATAGCCATGGAAAATCACAATTTTTAATGGGAAATTCCACTATTTCTATGGCCATTTTCAATAGCTATGTTAAATTACCAGAGGGGAACACTCCAAAACACCAGCTTGGAAAGATAAAACATCCCAAAACTTTCAACTGAGCATATGTCATGCAAAGATAGTCACACTCAGTCTAGATAATGTTACAGTCCTCTTTCTGGCCGCAAACCTCCACTCTTATTGAATAGTTCCCTAATTTTTCATAAGAACCCATGTCATGTTTGGTAAAAAAAAACCTACAAGAATTAATCCCAACCATCACCTTACACATTCTTAAACCGCCCCCCCCAAAAAATACGGCATATGATTACCGAAGAAATCCACCGGATAAACCGGTGGCGTTTTGATCAAAACCCCCCCATCGCCATCGCCGCCATCGCCATGGCACGGGCTGCTTCAGAGGTCGCCGACTCGATCTCCGCCTCCAGGGTTTCGATCTGATCCGCCGCCGAGGTAATCGAGGCGCCTGTGGCGATGGTGCTGTGGCAGTGGGTGACCCGAGGGTGACCCAAAAATGTTGGAATGACATGGAAAAAACATGCTGAGAATCAGACAGTTGAGTCGGAAAAGATGGGTTTTAACCATGTGTTAACAAGTGTAAACTGGAAAAATTGGCAAAAACTTGGCTGAAATGTGTTTTAAAGTGCGCAAAACGATAAAACAACGATGAAAAGCATGCAGAATTGGAGGGTTGGACCTACTAGTACCCAACATGAACCAATCTGGGAATTTGGCAGGCGCAAAATTATGTACTCACGAATTGGACAATAGTGATATTTATCAACAAAACAAATTAGGGTAGGGAATAAGTAATCTAAAGGTGATGCAGTCAACCCAAATATATTGATGTCAACCAAGAAATATTCAAACATAACATACTACAAAGAAATTGGAAATGTCCGATTTCATCAACAACACATTTGGATTCTGAATCCAGAGTAGGGAGCAATGCATTCCATGAGAATTTAGTCAAGTATTCCACGATTAGGGCTGATCCCAGTAACACGAATATCTATGTCTTGAATATGGATCGAACTCAGCGGCTGCACCCACACGTTTTCTACGTTCAAGAACCAAGCACCATGGCCCCGGAGCCTTTCTCGGCCAAAGTTCCTTTGCAGAATTCTTCGAACTTGGCATACTGCACCTGCTCCTGGTTACTCAAATGGCTTCATGGCTCAAAAATGCTCAAAATCTAGGTGTGTCTGAAAATGAGGCATACCTCCAACATCCTCCAACTATGGCTATTTGGGAAATCGGTGATCATATAACCAGAGGATTTACAGTTGATGGCCCGGGGGCACTCTATTTTCACACCCATCTGGCCATCTGGCCTCTGGAAATGTGGTAAACGTCGAAAACCACCGCTGGTGGCTTGGTCAGTTTCCAATCGCAGGTCATTTCTGGTCCATCATCTGCCAGACATTTCACCAAGTTGGGGGCAACGATTTTCAGGTGCGATTCAAAAACCCACCCACCCATCCCCCCGGTCTTCGCATTTTTTGGCACGCGTGACATCTTCTAAGACCCCTTAAACAAATATCTCAATGAGTTTCCGGCACAGCACATTGAACTCCACTAGAAATCTCCCCCCTTGTAGTTCACACATCAACTCATCCACCTTACAACCCCAATCCCCAATCCCCAGCATGGCATCTCAAAACTACGAGTTTATGGGGGAAACTTGGTATATAAATTAGATTAATAAGGCAAATATATATATATAAGGATATCAACATTTAAAATCTAAAATTAGTCATTTCGCAGTAGCCATTATTATATATATATATTATATATATAGATAGATAGAAGGAATAAAAATGGCACACACATGGCTACTGTATAATTTTCATGTGCATCAATGTTCACCATTTTTCACCCCCCAGTGGTGAAGAAAGTCACCAGAGGCGCTTCCTCGTTCATTTCTTTGGTGCCTTTCTCCTTCATGGTCTCTAACATCCTCGGAGGCAGCTGGAGCAACGTTCCATGTCTGGTGGGAGAAGCAGCACTGGTGATGCTGGAGATCACCCAAAGGATCCATGCGGAAACATGTGGAGATTACCCTCTGGTAAACTAACATAGCTATGGAAAATCACCATTTTCAATGGGAAAATCCACTATAAATGGCCATTTTCAATAGCTATGTTAGTTTACCGGAGATTAGCCAAGAAGAATGGCAAGAATGGCGTGATTTCAACGCCAGAACTTCGACTTTGAAGCAAAAGGATCCAAGGCAAAAATGCGGCTTTCACCGAGTCTAAAGAGTTGAAAATGGGCCTGGGTACAATGGGAGAGACCTGCTACGGCTCCCCTTAGCAGATCTTAGCAGGGGAGTAAGGTTCCTTTAAAAGAAAATCATTGATTCATTGATGTCTCTTTCATTGACTTAGCCTCTCAACATTTGTCACCTTGAGTATGAATGTTTTTGACAATGTCATCTCGGTAGAGTCGGAGTCCAGTTTCAAGAGTCGGAGTCGAAAAAACTCCAAAGGTCTACTTCTTCATTGCTGTCGACGACGCTGATGATCCCATCAAACTCTTCCAGACACGGGGCATCCACAGTGGGAGCTGATCGTAAGATTGGAAATACCCCCGAAATTCTCCCAAGATATATATCTGGGTAAATTATAATATGTCACTAACCTGAATCTTGCGGCCATTTGGGGATGATTTCCCTTAACCATGATTTCCAGGCTTCGGTCGAACAGTGAGGTCGTTGTAATTTAACCAGAATATATATATATATATAATATATATATAATATATATAATATATATAATATATAATATATATAATATATATATATTCATACATACTAAATCCCCTACTAAATCCCATATTTTTCACATATTCTCTGGATGTTTCTGGAGGCTGTTGATTTTTTGGAGGGGGATTCAATGTCCCAAGGATCTGGACCACCTTCTGCACGGGAGTCACATCGGACCTCAAGGCCAGAAAGGGCCATAGTAAGGGCCGCCAGAGAATCGATGCCTTTGGGGGAATGATTGTCTGTATTGATATCTATAAAAATCAGTCATCCAGAGATATCTAGGAATTATGGTCTGTATTAGAAAACACGCTATCTTCAATAGCTCATCAGCCAGAAATCCCCATGAATCAATGGTTTGGTTTAAGGGAAAATTTACAGGAAAGCCCCATATGAATAACGGGAAAATCTATGATGGTTTCCGGTTAAGATTTTCCCGTGAAAACCAATCCATTGAAATATCTATTGTCATCTGTATTACAATAATATGATTTAATCTGTATGAAAATCTGTAAATAATCTTTATAGATGTTAGATGATGTTAAACTATATTAATCTGTACAAATCTCTATGAATCTGTAATTTCTTTTAGATGTTGCCGCCGCCGGGTCCCCAGACGCAAGGGCGATGGACGCCAGCAGGCAGAGGCAGAGGCGCTGCATTGCGATCGGAATCGAAAGATCGATCGTTGAGTGTCCGCTGCAATGATGGTTTTTCAGCTGGAAACCCAAGTCTGAGCCAAGAATTCCATAGAATTCCATAGAATTCCATGGGGGATAGGAGAATTCCATGGCTGATTTTTTTGTTGGAAAACATGAACACTTCCACATGCTGGGAAACTGAGACAGGTCTTTGCAGGAAACTTATGGTGCATTTTTTTGGCAGTCGTTGTAATTTGCCAAAGAAGTGTGCCAATTCAATGGCTTCACCAATGTGGGGATGGGTCAAACACGCCTTACTAGCCATTTTACCCTCTGGTAATTTAACGTAGCTAGTGAAAATGGCAATTTATAGTGAGTTTTCCCATTAAAAATAGTGATTTTCCATAGCTATGTTAGTTTACCAGAGGGTATGTCGTATTATATAAACCCATCCATGTATGGAGGTCAACCGGTTTTCACCCAGGATTTGTCTGAAAATCGTGTAGCTCTGATTCAATGGTCATTTAGGGGGTATATATCCCCTTTTCATCCCTTGAAAAGTCACCTCCTATCTAGTTAGATACTGTTAAATACATCCCATGATATACTGGTAATTTGTTGCATAGCTATTGAAGCCATGGCCCAGTCGAAATAGTTTTTCTTTACCCAGCTATTTTTTATGGTGGATCTTTCTACAGTTATCTGGGTAAATTATAATATTTTTCACCAACCTGAATCTTGCGGCCATTTGGGGATGATTTCCCTAACATAAACCATGATTTCCAGGGTTCGGTCGAACAGTGAGGTCGTTATAATTTACCCTGAGTTATGTGACCAAACTACCAGAGGCTACCCCTGCCGCCAGAAAAAAAAAATTGTGGTCACCACCAGGTCATGCGCCGACATCAAAAAAATCGACGTTGAAACCATGATCGAAACACGGTGGAAATATGTAGAGTTCATCCATTTTCAAAGGTTGCCAGCTTTCGAAATATATGTCTTATAGTTCTTTTGGATTCTTTTGGATTCTTTTGGCTTGATTTCAATGGGTGAAACCACTGCTTCGGATCGGAAAACTGAAAAAATCCTCGGATCGCTCTCAGGCTGTGCCACTCACAGGATCTTCCAAGCCATCACAAATGCGTTGGAGGGTGAAGACAGATGCATTCCTGGGCCATTTCTTGCTGCCATTTTTGCGCTGGAGATGATCAAAGATGGAGGTTTCATCAATTTTCATGTCTTCAATGATCCTGGGACCAAAGTATACCCTCTGGTAATAGCTAACAGTTTGCTATTGAAAATGGCCATTTATAGTGAGTTTTCCCATCAAAAATGGTGATTTTCCAGAGCTATGTTAAATTACCAGAGGGTAGATGGGGTTCATAAACCCCCAAACTTGAGGCTTTGCCTTGGACTTAACTGGGATCAAACCAACCCAGTGAAAGGAGTCCTGCGCGAAAGCCTGCAGTGGCCTGCTTTATTTTCGTAAGTGTACGATTCGTGAGGTTGCTTTGAGTATTTTGGGCGGCATCGGTTGCAACATGTCAATATCTTTTGCAATTTTGACATCTTCCGGATCCAACCTTCAACCCTTCATTAAAAATGGTCTTAGAGTCTTAGACAGCACATCCCTGCACTTTTTTTGGTTGCGCAAAAAGATTCAAGTACTCTTCAGTGCCCATCCAAGGTTAACCCAGACTTCTTGCACGGTTTTTTCCCCTTCCCAGTACCAATATGAGCCCAGCAGCTGGGTCTTCAACAGCAGGGAGAAACACTCCTGGCGCGACGGATCCATGATGATCCCATGGATTCCGTGGATCCATCCCGATGGGTGATGCCAGCATAGGAATCCATGTTGAGGGATCATCATTGCGATCAATCCATGACCCATAGATCCCATAGGATCTATGGTGCTGCTATATATGGTAACATAGATCCCATCAATATACCCCCTTGATGTTAGCATATATACCAGCACCAGCCGGATCCGTCATGGGTGATGATGATGGTGCTAAACGTAGGGAATCCATGGGAATCGGGTTATCAACATTATATAGTTATCAAGTGGATCATTCCCGAAATTTCCCATCGTTTAGCACAAGTAAGATGATGATGATGATGATGATGATGATGATGATGATGATGACTTCATCCCCAGCTCCTGGCTGATCCAACTGGTTTGCTTGGCGTTCAACTGCGACTCTTGCAGCACCGCTGTGACCGTGAGTTTTTTGAAGACCTAAAGGCGGGGTCGCGCTTTGGCTTCGCTGATGGGCATTAAAACAAGAGAAAATGCCATGGCTCCAGGTGGTCACTGGGGCATATGGATAGATTATGTTAGAATATATGAACCGAATATATATATATATACATATACATATACACGTATATGTATACATATGTGTACATATGTATACATATCATAGATTATTATAGATGATGTGCTGTTGACTTGTTGCAGTCCGGTATCGGACTGTTCTGCACTCCAGATTCAGTTTGCACAAAATGTATTAAAATGTGAGAATCTCCGCATCAAGCAATACCCTCATCTATTGAGGCTTGGCTTCAACCTATCTGCAATACTGCTTGGCTACTCGAATTTCGGTTGGCGCGACACATCTAAAACACCTGATCCCAGCTGATCTAGCTCGCAGCCCACCTCTCTATATTAATGAATCAACCAGTGGCAAAGGGACATCTGTAGTATAACCTACCTACAGCCAATCTTGTCTTTTAAATTCCCACCATTTCCCACCTGTGTTTTTCAAATATCCCGCTTGGTTGCCTCTGCAAACCCACTTCTTGGTGTTTTTTTTCCATTTTTCCCACCTTCGCCATATCATTACCCTCGGGTAAACTAACATAACTATGGAAAATCACCATTTATAACAGGTAAATCATCTATAAATGATCCATTTTCAATAGCTATTTTGACATAACCAGAGGGTATCATGGCAGGAAGCATCTGGAATCACGCTCTTCAAGTCATCTTCACTAATCATCCCGTCACCGTCGATGTCGAACAACCTCCCGATGGCATTTTCAAGCTGGTTAGCCTCTGATAAACTAACGTAGCTATGGAAAGATCCACCATTTTTGATGGGAAAATCCACTATTTCTATGGCCATTTTCAATAGCTATGTTAAATTACCAGAGGGTAACGTAGCTATTGAAAATGGATCATTTATAGATGATTTACCTGTTATAAATGGTGATTTTCCATAATTTTTTGTATGTTTACCAGAGGGTAGCAAATCCGTGGAGCCTCTGATGTTCAGTTCTGCTGTGAATCTGGATTCTTCCCGGGGTTTCACTTTACATCATGTGTCTATAGATGTCTATAGTATCATATGCATACAAACTTGATATCCAATGACTGGACATCAACAATGCCCATCAACTGTGAACAACCCAACTGTTGACATCTTCAGAACCGTGGTTTCATAACAAATGATGTACCTTAAAAAAAAAACAAACATTAAAAAAGAAAAAAAAACATCCCATCTGCCATCTCACTCTCTTTGGACTTCCCAGTCCATTTCTTCATAACGCAGCCATCCTTGGGCCTGAAGGTGGCATTGATGTGGAAGGCGTCTGTGTACCATGCCTCAGGACACACCGTCACCACCCCATGACCTGGACCCATCCCCCCTTGGGGATGATGACTATGCAGCAATTTTTTTGGTGCTTTCAGAAACATCCAAAAATCATTAATTTATAAAACATATATACATAAACATATATTATTCATTTTTGGGGATGATTCATTTTTTGGGATCCCCCGAAGTTTTTCCTTTTTTTTTCGATTTCCCGAAAAAAAGTGGGCTTCCCATTGGGAAAGTCAAAGTCATCACCTGACACAAAGCCAGCTGGCAGTTTTGGATCCCCAAAAACTGGATCCCCATGGCTGACAGGAAACCGGATCGGCGGTGGCGGCCAGCCACTCGGAATAGCTGATATGCCTCGGGATCGGCCACTCGGTCCAAAAGATCCAATCCAAGAATATCTTCGTAGTATATGGCTTTGTTGATTCCTTCTTATCTTTTTTGGGGGGGTACTAAGTATACAGTCTAAGTATACTATACTATACTTGATGGCATCAAATCATATAAAAACATATAAAATATGCAGTAAAATCTATGTTTTTTGCAACTTAGCAGTTCATCATTGGGGATTCCTGGATGAAACAAACCCCGAAAGCACAGGGTGAACTCGTTCCGAACTTCTGATCCCAAAAGGTGGGGTAGAAAAATGATAGCTGTTGATAGATACCTGGGTTAGGCTTTACGGTCGTTAATTATATATATATACACATTTGCTATAATATATATATATATATAGTGTTACATATTATTATTATATATAATTACTATATATGTTGTACTATATCATATCATATAGTATATTATATTATGATATGATATGTCTATAGCATTTCTGGGCTTTAGAAACGAATCACCAATTCGTTTAACTCACAGGGCACGGCAACACCATGGCGGCCCGAGGAACCCGGTACCAGTGGCGTCCACCTGACGGGGATCAAACTCCTGGTACCCTAAAATCGCTGGTTGGTTGGTGGTTATTATACTATTGGTTGGTGATAAATGTTAATATACTATCATATACTATAATATTGGTTAATATACTATAATGGTACCCAAAAAAAAAATCTAGCTGGTTGGTTGGTAATATACTATTAGGTATATGGTTAATATTAATGGTTTTTATATGGTTAATGATGGTTCATAATAATCTGGTTGGTGGTTTCAACCTACCCCTCTGAAAAATGATGGACTGAAAGTCAGTTGGGATGATGACATTCCCAGTAGCTGGGAAAAAATATGAAAAATGTTCCAAACCACCAATCAGTAATGGATGTTTAATATGATTACCCTTGTAACTTATATGCTAATTAAATGCTAATCATAGATGGAATTATAGAATAGGTTTTGATCCATCCCCGTCCATAAATACGAAGTGGAAGCATTTTTTAACGAAGTTTTTTATGTTACAAACTTGTT